GGAGAGGTGTAGATAGGTAGAAGTAGAAGAGTAGATAGTATAAGTAGAAGAGTAGATAGTAGAAGACGAAATGCTGCCACCATCCATTCATGATCATTACATACAAGACAAGGAATGGAACTTGCCTGTATCACAAAATTCTCAAAAGATGTTATCAAGAGATCATTATTAGTATGGTCCCATCTTTATCATGTACTCATTCTAAACCATGAAACCAGTAACTACAGAGGCTTTCTCACCTCAACTCAAAATCTCTAGGGAACAAAGTTAAACACAATTTAAATAATAAATTCATAATTATATTTCACATGAAGTATCCTAATTTAGCAATTCAATTAAAATGTTCCAGTTTAATATGCAAAGTGAGTCATCATCCAAGAATTCGAGAACCCTACAACTTGACTGCCCCTGATCATCACACAACATATGTAAACACGACCAAGTCACCTTAATGTTCACTCACCGAGGACGGAGTCTAAGTTGAATAGAGAGGGGGGGGGGGTCTGTAGCTTGACAGAGACTGTCTCTCCCCTGCCGGCCGACAGCCTCCCTGGTAGGGACGTCGTCTCTCTCTCGTCTGCTGCTCTGTCTGTTAATCCTCTCTGCTTGATAGCTCTCCGAGTTTATATTGGGGAACCTAGTAGCTAACTCCGCCCACAAATAGATAGCCTCCGGCACTACCAAGCCACTCCTTAAACGTCGGCATGTTTGAAGGCTACCAGACTACAACTAAGAGATTATCAGAAGCAAGGTGAAATTCGCATGATCTGACCTCAGGTCACTTGGGGTCATTAACGCTTTGAGGTGTGAGATCTCAGGCAGACAACGCTTCTGAAGCTTCCATCAGGATTCTGATACTTCAGCAGGAATACCACAGACTTATGAATGATATGTGGATCAATGTAAAGCAGATTTTCCCAGTCTTCATGCTGTGCCGCCAGGAGGATGTTGATAACTTTGGCTGTAAGCCTGAAATTTATATAAATTTAAGATGACATTTTATCACAGCAGCACAGGAAAATATATATAATATATATATAATAATTATTTTGCAGATTTCATGTTATTTAAAAAGTATAATGTTGAAGATGGGCATTGAGGAACGAGCCACAATCATAACATCACATTTTACATACCACACTAATCAGCAAATTAAGAGACAGTAATGACCACTTGAGTAGCAAGGTCTTAGATCTTCAAGGATTAGTGAAAGACTTACGTGTAGACAAATATATGTGGAAAGTTAATTGCAAAGCCATGGAAGAGGAAAAACTCTAGAAAACATCTTTGGAAGAAGTTAAAGCAAATTTAAAAATAAATGACCACAATAGGTTAGGTAAGGGAATCCAACAGGAAAAACCGCTCTTGTCAGCACAGATGGAGGAAGTTACTCTGGGAATAGAACAGTGCAAGAAGGATATACAACTCGCCTATGCACAAGTGGCCAAGGAGAAGGAAAAAAAGAAGCAGTAAAGGAAGCCAAACACTGCAGCAATCAGGGTAAAACAAACATTAGGCTGGAAATCAGAAAGTAAGTGGCATCAAACCCGAAATTGATGCAAAACACAACCGCTCGTAATAAGTCCCTAGTAATTTTTGGTTGCAAAGAAAAGATAACATCTAGGTCAGAAAGAGTTGTAGAAGAAGCGAAAGTAGTAGATAAAATTGTTGGGCTAATGGAAGGTCTTACAACCAAAGAATATCTGCGACTACAGGAGGATTGGCAGGTACGAAAAAGAGAAAGATCGACCCTTGAGGATCACCCTGAATGCTGCTAAACAGAATAAGTACTAAGGAATGCTAGGACATTACAAAGTGATATGTTGTATTTTGTTAGTGATTCTTTTGGACCTGAAGATTCGTAAAAATCATCCTGGAAACATTCCTATATCACGTTAAACAAGCTACGAGGATGAGGGAAATGGATATTCACTCCACGATGGATTTGATATTTATCAGGAAAGAGGAAAAGATATTTGAAATTCAGTACCTTCCTTCCTTGGGTAAAAGTGACGATGTCTTTTTGGGAATAAAGTTTGCAACGCGTTATAATCTGGACGAAAATGAGAAAGTTGAAGCAGTGCAAAAACCTGATTTCAGGAGAGGACATTATGGGGAACTTAGAAATTTCTTTAAGGAATTTGAGTGGAGCGACCGGCTGTTAGGCAAGGAAGTAAATTAGATGTATGTAACGTCTTGTGAAGAATATGATAACGACACAAACAAAATTATACCAACGCAGAGATGCAGAACTAGGAAACAGGATTGGTTCACCAGAAATTGCAAGAGGGCCAAGGCCCAAAAAACTCAAAAATGGAAACAATATAGGAAGAGGCCAAACTCCCACACACAACAGCGATACAAAGATGCTAGAAACAACTTAGTCTGCCCGAAACGCTTTGCGTAATAGTGGCTTTAGGCATTGTATGTACTAGCTCTATCTATAAATTCAGCAATTTTTGTATCACCCCTTGTATGTATGTACTTTACTTGAATAAATATTTGAATTTTGAATTTGAATTTGAGCTTCACGGCAGTGAGGAGAGATGTAGAAAGAAATTTTGAGCAAGAGATAGCGGACAAATGTAAAACAGTACCAGGCCAATTCTATAAATTCATCAACAAAAAATTGCAAGTCAAATAAAATAAAATGTTTATTCAGCTAAAAGTACATACATACCAGATGAGTTACACACAATGTTTGATTTCTGGACAGAGCTAGTACCTGTACATACAATTCCTAAAGCCACTAATATGCACAGCATTTCGGGCAAGGTGTGGGAAAAAACGCTTAGAATAAACTTCATTCTAATTGAGATCAAAGCATAAATTGAGTTGAAAAAGTGAAAAAGAGGTAAAGAAAAGGGAAAAATGGGTAAAGGATAATATTCAGAGGTTAAAAATTGGAAACATTCACAGAAAATGAAAAGGAAATGGGTGAAACATTAAATGATAAGTTCCAAAGTGTGTTTGTACAAAATGAAATCTTCAGAGAACCACACACTAAGAATTCCAGAGAACAACAGAGCACAGAAGTGTCTAGAGACGAAGTGAAAAAAATACTCGAGGAGCTTAGTAAGAATTGGTCGAGATGGAGGATTACGATCCTGCGTAATAGGTCGAGTTGGTCGAGATGGAGTTTCACCATGGGTTCTGAGAGAATGTGCACCTGAGCTCAGTATTCCACTTCAAGGGATTTTTAAGACATCCCTGTTTACGGGAGTTGTAGCTGATGTGTGGGAAAAAGGCTAACATAGTTCCAATCTACAAAAGTGGCAGCAGGGAAGACCCACTATATTATAGACCGGAATCATTGACAAGTGTAATAGTCAAAATATTGGAAAATTTATTAAAACTTAATGGGTAGAACACCTGGAGAAAAACGATATTATATCAGACAGTATGGTTATCAATCTGGAAGATCCTGCGGAACAAATTTACTCAGTTTCTATGATCGAGCAACTGAGATTTTTACAGGAAAGAGATGGTTGGGTTGACTGCATCTATCTGGACATAAAGGTTTTCGATAGAGTTCCAGATGAGAGATAGTTCTAGAAACTGGAACATATTGGAGGAGCGACAAAAAAAAAGGTCTGACAGAAAAATGAGGGCAGTAATCAGAGGCAATGTATCGGAATGGAGAAATGTCACAAGTGGAGTACCACAGGGTTCAGTTCTTGCACCAGTGATGTTTATTGTCTACATAAACGATCTACCAGATGGAATACAGAATTATATGACCATGTTTGCTGATGATGCTAAGATAATGGGGAAGATAAGAAAATTAGACGACTTCCATGCTCTTCAAGAGGACATGGACAAAATAAGTATGTAGCATATGGCGGGTGGTGGGGATGGGGGTGATGGATAGGAAAGATGTAGGATGGAGCATTGTCAAAAGCACCACTTGGCAAATGGAATTTAATGTGAATAAATGTCATGTTATGAAATGTGGACTAGGAGAACATAGACCCCACTCAATTTACAAATGTGAGAAATCTTTAAAGAATTCTGATAAAGAAAGAGATCTAGGGGTGGTTCTAGATAGAAAACTATCACCTGAGGACCACATAAAGAATATTGTGCGAGGAACCTATGCTACACTTTCTAGCCTCAGAATTGCTTTTAAATACATGGATGGCGAAATACTCAAGAAATTGTTCACGACTTGTTAGGCCAATGCTAGAATATGCAGCGGTTGTGTGGTGCCCATATCTTAAGAAGCACATCAACAAACTGGAAAAGGTGCAAAGACATACAACTAAATGGCTCCCAGAACTGAAAGACAAGAGCTACGAGGAGAGGTTAGAGGCATTAAATATGCCAAAACTAGAAGATAGAAGAAAAAGAGGCGATATGATCACTACATACAAAATAGTAACTGGAATCTATAAAATTAATAGGGAAGAATTCCCGAGACCTGGAACTTCAAGAACTAGAGGTCAGAGATTTAAACTAAGTAAACAAAGCTGCCAAAGGAATATAAGAAAATTCACTTTCACAGAGTGGTAGACGGTTGGAACAAGTTAGGGGAGACGGTGGAGGAGGCCAAGACCGTCAGTAGTTTCAAAGCGTTATATGACAGAGTGCTGGGAAGACGGGACACCACGAGCGTAGCTCTCATCCTGTGACAACAAATAGATAATTACACTTTGGTAATTACATTCTGGGAGGAGAAACGGCCCACATGCTGAAGCCTCCATCATAACACCGCCACAGTTTACATACCACACACTGGGAGGAGTGAAGGCCCACATGCTGAAGCCTCCGTCATAACACCGCCACAGTTTACATACCACACACTAGGGGGAGTGAAGGCCCACATGCTGAAGCCTCCGTCATAACACCGCCACAGTTTACATACCACACACTGGGAGGAGTGAAGGCCCACATGCTGAAGCCTCCATCATAACACCGCCACAGTTTACATACCCCACACTGGGAGGAGTGAAGGCCCACATGCTGAAGCCTCCGTCATAACACCGCCACAGTTTACATACCACACACTAGGGGGAGTGAAGGCCCACATGCTGAAGCCTCCGTCATAACACCGCCACAGTAGTCCTCCCAGCTGCATGGTGAGGTAGTCAAATGCATCCCTGGCTTCTGACACTTCCAGCTGTAGAGGTGCAAGGTTTAGGTGATGTGAGGGTGTGGCAGGCAGTAGGGGTGTGTCTCGGGGGTGTGGCAGGCAGTAGGGGTGTGTCTCGGGGGTGTGGCAGGCAGGAGGGGTGTGTCTCGGGGGTGTGGCAGGCAGGAGGGGTGTGTCTCGGGGGTGTGGCAGGCAGGAGGGGTGTGTCTCGGGGGTGTGGCAGGCAGTAGGGGGGGTGTCTCGGGGGTGTGGCAGGCAGGAGGGTGTGTCTCGGGGGTGTGGCAGGCAGTAGGGGGGTGTCTCGGGGGTGTGGCAGGCAATAGGGGGGTGTCTCGGGGGTGTGGCAGGCAGTAGGGGGGTGTCTCGTGGGTGTGGCAGGCAGTAGGGGTGTGTCTCGGGGGTGTGGCAGGCAGTAGGGGTGTGTCTCGTGGGTGTGGCAGGCAGTAGGGGTGTGTCTCGGGGGTGTGGCAGGCAGTAGGGGGGTGTTTCGGGGGTGTGGCAGGCAGTAGGGGGTGTCTCGGGGGTGTGGCAGGCAGTAGGGGGGTGTCTCGGGGGTGTGGCAGGCAGTAGGGGGGTGTCTCGTGGGTGTGGCAGGCAGTAGGGTTGTGTCTCGGGGGTGTGGCAGGCAGTAGGGGTGTGTCTCGTGGGTGTGGCAGGCAGTAGGGGTGTGTCTCGGGGATGTGGCAGGCAGTAGGGGGGTGTTTCGGGGGTGTGGCAGGCAGTAGGGGGGTGTCTCGGGGGTGTGGCAGGCAGTAGGGGGGTGTCTCGGGGGTGTGGCAGGCAGTAGGGGGGTGTCTCGGGGGTGTGGCAGGCAGTAGGGGTGTGTCTCGGGGGTGTGGCAGGCAGTAGGGGGGTGTCTCGGGGGTGTGGCAGGCAGTAGGGGGGTGTCTCGGGGGTGTGGCAGGCAGTAGGGGGGTGTCTCGGGGGTGTGGCAGGCAGTAGGGGGGTGTCTCGTGGGTGTGGCAGGCAGTAGGGGGGTGTCTCGTGGGTGTGGCAGGCAGTAGGGGGGTGTCTCGTGGGTGTGGCAGGCAGTAGGGGGGTGTCTCGGGGGTGTGGCAGGCAGTAGGGGGGTGTCTCGGGGGTGTGGCAGGCAGTAGGGGGGTGTCTCGGGGGTGTGGCAGGCAGTAGGGGGGTGTCTCGGGGGTGTGGCAGGCAGTAGGGGGGTGTCTCGGGGGTGTGGCAGGCAGTAGGGGGGTGTCTCGGGGGTGTGGCAGGCAGTAGGGGGGTGTCTCGGGGGTGTGGCAGGCAGTAGGGGGGTGTCTCGGGGGTGTGGCAGGCAGTAGGGGGGTGTCTCGGGGGTGTGGCAGGCAGTAGGGGGTGTCTCGGGGGTGTGGCAGGCAGTAGGGGGGTGTCTCGTGGGTGTGGCAGGCAGTAGGGGGTGTCTCGTGGGTGTGGCAGGCAGTAGGGGGGTGTCTCGGGGGTGTGGCAGGCAGTAGGGGGGTGTCTCGGGGGTGTGGCAGGCAGTAGGGGGGTGTCTCGGGGGTGTGGCAGGCAGTAGGGGGGTGTCTCGGGGGTGTGGCAGGCAGTAGGGGGGTGTCTCGGGGGTGTGGCAGGCAGTAGGGGGGTGTCTCGGGGGTGTGGCAGGCAGTAGGGGGGTGTCTCGGGGGTGTGGCAGGCAGTAGGGGGTGTCTCGTGGGTGTGGCAGGCAGTAGGGGGGTGTCTCGTGGGTGTGGCAGGCAGTAGGGGGGTGTCTCGGGGGTGTGGCAGGCAGTAGGGGGGTGTCTCGGGGGTGTGGCAGGCAGTAGGGGGGTGTCTCGGGGGTGTGGCAGGCAGTAGGGGGGTGTCTCGGGGGTGTGGCAGGCAGTAGGGGGGTGTCTCGTGGGTGTGGCAGGCAGTAGGGGGTGTCTCGTGGGTGTGGCAGGCAGTAGGGGGGTGTCTCGGGGGTGTGGCAGGCAGTAGGGGGGTGTCTCGTGGGTGTGGCAGGCAGTAGGGGGGTGTCTCGTGGGTGTGGCAGGCAGTAGGGGGGTGTCTCGTGGGTGTGGCAGGCAGTAGGGGGGTGTCTCGTGGGTGTGGCAGGCAGTAGGGGGGTGTCTCGTGGGTGTGGCAGGCAGGCAGTGGCAGGCAGGGGGTGTCTCGGGGGTGTGGCAGGCAGTAGGGGGGTGTCTCGTGGGTGTGGCAGGCAGTAGGGGGGTGTCTCGTGGGTGTGGCAGGCAGTAGGGGGGTGTCTCGGGGGTGTGGCAGGCAGTAGGGGGGTGTGGCAGGCAGTAGGGGTGTGTCTCGGGGGTGTGGCAGGCAGTAGGGGGGTGTCTCGGGGGTGTGGCAGGCAGTAGGGGGGTGTCTCGGGGGTGTGGCAGGCAGTAGGGGGGTGTCTCGTGGGTGTGGCAGGCAGTAGGGGTGTGTCTCGGGGGTGTGGCAGGCAGTAGGGGGGTGTCTCGGGGGTGTGGCAGGCAGTAGGGGGGTGTCTCGGGGGTGTGGCAGGCAGTAGGGGGGTGTCTCGGGGGTGTGGCAGGCAGTAGGGGGGTGTCTCGGGGGTGTGGCAGGCAGTAGGGGGGTGTCTCGGGGGTGTGGCAGGCAGTAGGGGGGTGTCTCGGGGGTGTGGCAGGCAGTAGGGGGGTGTCTCGTGGGTGTGGCAGGCAGTAGGGGGTTGTCTCGGGGGTGTGGCAGGCAGTAGGGGGGTGTCTCGGGGGTGTGGCAGGCAGTAGGGGGGTGTCTCGGGGGTGTGGCAGGCAGTAGGGGGGTGTCTCGGGGGTGTGGCAGGCAGTAGGGGGGGGGGTGTCTCGGGGGTGTGGCAGGCAGTAGGGGGGTGTCTCGTGGGTGTGGCAGGCAGTAGGGGGGTGTCTCGGGGGTGTGGCAGGCAGTAGGGGGGGTGTCTCGGGGGTGTGGCAGGCAGTAGGGGGGTGTCTCGGGGGTGTGGCAGGCAGTAGGGGGGTGTCTCGGGGGTGTGGCAGGCAGTAGGGGGGTGTCTCGGGGGTGTGGCAGGCAGTAGGGGGGTGTCTCGGGGGTGTGGCAGGCAGTAGGGGGGTGTCTCGGGGGTGTGGCAGGCAGTAGGGGGGTGTCTCGGGGGTGTGGCAGGCAGTAGGGGGGTTTCTCGGGGGTGTGGCAGGCAGTAGGGAATGTCTTGAAGGGGGTGCCAGTCCAGGGTTGTGGTAGGTCCAGATTACAGGACAGTCCCATCACACAGCCACAGTGGGTAACATTCCCAATGCCAAGTCGCACCAACATATTTCAGCATGGATGTGTTGGACTGAGATCACCTTTACCGAGTTCCACACAAAGCCAATACACAATATACACATTCAGTAAATACCGTAAACTGATAATGTGACTCGTCCATACCAAGGAGGAACATTGGTATAAGTCAGTTTATGCAGTACCTGATTTGTCAGTCTGAGGTAGTGAAGGGTCCAGAGGGTCGCCCCAAAGTTAAAGGCAACACCGTCTGTGCTCCGCAGGTGTCTGCCACCAAACACCGCACTGTGATCCACCGAGATTCCCTCAAGTGTTGGCCCAAATACGTCTCCTTAAAAAAAAAAAGCGTTGAATGCAATGAACCACCATTTTCTGGGTGAGCCCCGGAGTCTTCCCTGGACCTATCAGGCTGATATATGTTATATTAGTCTGGGGCATCAGCCAATTGGAGTTCAGCCTACTGGGGACCACGAGCCAGAACCTGGCCCTCCTCAGGGAGGCAGAGAGAGCAATGGACTATGGAACCCCCCTTCCCCAACCATGTATTTGGAGGCATTCCATGTCTACCATCGACCGGGGTTGGCACCCAGGAAGGTAGACAACAGAACAGACCCCACATGGTAAGACAATTGTAACCGAAGATCGAACAGAGGAAGAACTCCCCCAACATAATAACAAACAAATGCCACAATCCGGCGCAGCAATTCTTGTCTACGCAGCCGTCCCCATCCCCGGGGAGGGGAGGCCCAGACTCCCCTTCCCCATGCCGGCTACCCAACAACTGCAGTTCGGAGGCTGAGCATCAAAACCCCACACGGAAAAAACGCCGACCAGAGGGAGGGAGGGAGTGTGGCCGGGAGCCTCTGGGACTCTCCTAAAAAAAATGTCAATTACTGCACCTTAGGGAAGAGAACCTTAAGCACATGCAGCCCCAGTACTCTCAGTTCTCCTGGCCACCGTGCCCCACACACACCACAACACACCAATAAGATACACAACTGGCTAAGAATCTGAAGCCAGAATCAACGTCCGTCCCAGACAACATCAGCCAACGAACTGGAGCTGTTGGCAGCCAATGGGGGGCGTGGCTCCCCCCTCCACCTCCCAGGGGGGGGGGGGTTGCTGCGTGGACGAGTAGAGTGTGGCATTTGTTTGTTTTAAGTACGGGAAGTTCTGCCTCTCTGTTCGGTCTTCAGTTGCAATTGTCTTACCATGTGGGGTCTTTTGTTATGCCTACCTTCCTGGGCGCCAACCCCGGTCGTTGGCGGACATGGAATGCCTCCAAATACATGGTGGGTTTCTATAGGCTATTTCTCCCTTAGCCTCTCTGGGGGGGACCAGGTTCTGACTCGTGTTTCCCAGTAGGCTGAACTCCAATTGACTGATGCCCCAGACTAATGTAACATATTAGCCTGGCTGCTCCAGGGAACCGAACGGGTTTCCCTCAGAAAGAGTTAAGTGTTATATCAACTATGCATACATGTCACAAGATGAAATTTGTTTTAAAACAAGGAAAAGAATGTTCCATTAATGTACCAGATTGACCTTTCAAGCAGCTATGGTACAAAAATCATCAATGGAAAGTATTCTACTTCTAAAAATGTACTTCTAATATCAATTACAAGACGATGATTGCAGGTTTACTTTTAAATTTATTTTAAAATTTATTTTTAGAAAATTAATTTAGCCTACAATGATACTATATAAGATTATTGAACAATACAACACAGCAGGAAATGAACAAGAGGAAATAGACAGAAGACAAACAGTAAGTAATAGACCATGCTAAAGATAGTAGCCAAAATAGACATGCTGAGCTTCATAAATTTTGTAAAAAATAGTTAAGAGAAATTAATATTAAACAAATTGGCCCCTCATTAAGCACCCAAACTTGACTCGAGTTTAATACACACTAAACATGTTATGGTTTAGCATCGTTAACACTGGAATGGTAGTTAGCACGGCCACTCAGGTGCTAGATGCACACACTACCAGCACACACCCACCAGCTGGCGTGCAGTGATCCTGACACCCCGAAGGCCACACAGATCCCACCTGCTACAGTTATTCCAACAGCTGGTTCTCGCCTGCTACAGTGATCCTGGTAGGTGGTTCTCGCCTGCTACAGTTATTCCAACAGCTGGTTCTCGCCTGCTACAGTGATCCTGGTAGGTGGTTCTCACCTGCTACAGTGATCCTGGCGGCTGGTTCTCGCCTGCTACAGTGATCCTGGCGGCTGGTTCTCGCCTGCTACAGTGATCCTGGCAGCTGGTTCTCGCCTGCTACAGTGATCCTGGTAGGTGGTTCTCGCCTGCTACAGTGATCCTGGTAGGTGGTTCTCGCCTGCTACAGTGATCCTGGTAGGTGGTTCTCACCTGCTACAGTGATCCTGGCAGCTGGTTCTCACCTGCTACAGTGATCCTGGCAGCTGGTTCTCACCTGCTACAGTGATCCTGGCAGCTGGTTCTCACCTGCTACAGTGATCCTGGCGGCTGGTTCTCACCTGCTACAGTGATCCTGGCGGCTGGTTCTCACCTGCTACAGTGATCCTGGCGGCTGGTTCTCACCTGCTACAGTGATCCTGGCAGCTGGTTCTCACCTGCTACAGTGATCCTGGCAGCTGGTTCTCACCTGTTACAGTGATCCTTGCGGCTGGTTCTCACCTGCTACAGTGATCCTGGCGGCTGGTTCTCACCTGCTACAGTGATCCTGGCGGCTGGTTCTCACCTGCTACAGTGATCCTGGCGGCTGGTTCTCGCCTGCTACAGTGATCCTGGCGGCTGGTTCTCACCTGCTACAGTGATCCTGGCGGCTGGTTCTCACCTGCTACAGTGATCCTGGCGGCTGGTTCTCACCTGCTACAGTGATCCTGGCGGCTGGTTCTCACCTGCTACAGTGATCCTGGCGGCTGGTTCTCACCTGCTACAGTGATCCTGGCGGCTGGTTCTCCCCTGCTACAGTGATCCTGGCGGCTGGTTCTCACCTGCTACAGTGATCCTGGCGGCTGGTTCTCACCTGCTACAGTGATCCTGGCGGCTGGTTCTCACCTGCTACAGTGATCCTGGCGGCTGGTTCTCACCTGCTACAGTGATCCTGGCGGCTGGTTCTCACCTGCTACAGTGATCCTGGCGGCTGGTTCTCGCCTGCTACAGTGATCCTGGCGGCTGGTTCTCGCCTGCTACAGTGATCCTGGCGGCTGGTTCTCACCTGCTACAGTGATCCTGGCGGCTGGTTCTCACCTGCTACAGTGATCCTGGCGGCTGGTTCTCACCTGCTACAGTGATCCTGGCGGCTGGTTCTCACCTGCTACAGTGATCCTGGCGGCTGGTTCTCACCTGCTACAGTGATCCTGGCGGCTGGTTCTCACCTGCTACAGTGATCCTGGCGGCTGGTTCTCGCCTGCTACAGTGATCCTGGCGGCTGGTTCTCACCTGCTACAGTGATCCTGGCGGCCGGGGAGCCATACAGGTAGCGTCTCTGAAGGCTGAGAGGGATGATGGGGCTCTCGTCAATAGGAACATCCAAGAACTCGTAAACAAGAGCACGGTTCCTCAGGTCCAGCAGCAGGGACGTGTGCTTCTTCACCGGCACGCCTTCAGGCTTCAACACAATAGTGTGATTGTAAATGTTTTTCCACATTTTTAGAACCATAATTAAAACTAATGCTTTTTTGTAAATAATTTTCAACCTCTTGCACATATATCATATAATGTTACAGTACTGGTTACTGTTTATGTTTAAAATAAAACAAATTATGTGTACTTTTATAATAAAGATCCTTGCTTTAAATTTGAACATTTTTTGTGTGTTGTTCTGCTTATATTGAAACACTAATGTTTGCTTTATGCTTGTATTTAAGAATCATAGTTAAGAGCACTGAGCAAGTACAATGTAAGTTTGACAAGAATTCTCACCTTAACTTCTATTTCCCACGTTTCAGTTTCTCTGCGAATCTGTGACAAGGCTTCCACTGTCACCTCCATCGTCCCTGACTGTCGCATTACCGCCAGCGGCAGCATCACTTCTGCGTACCCTTCAGCGGGGATCTGTGCCACAACACGGCAGATAATAATAGTAATGAGAAAGTCAGTAGGAACCATGAAAAGCATTGGAACCCTCTTACGTGGTACTCCAAAGCAGACGTGTTAGACCACTACACCACCATAACGTGGTAAGAGCAATGCAACCTGGTATTCCACTGACTGCTCTAAGAGGTCCTGAGGCAAGGGGATTCAGTGGAATCTAACATTGTATTCATCTTACCTTGTCGTAGTGTAGTGGTCTAGGGCATTAGCTTGGGAATACCAAGTGAGCGGTTCGAATCCTCCTCATGGCTCCTACTGATTTTTTTTCAATGATACATCACGTTAATGTGATTTTATTATACATTTGACAAGAAGCGATGAAGGTAGAACTTCTGGATCGACTTGAGAATGGTCCAAGACGGACCGAAACGTCGTCGTCCCTTCACCTTCTAGTGTGTGGTCTGGTCAACATACTTTAGCCACGTTATTGTGACTCATCGCCTGCATGCGAACTTCTGGACAATAAGCCAAAGTGCAGAGGGGCAATGTGTCAAACCCTGATTGGGCTTCAGTTGTAAGCCTCATGGACCCCGTAGAGGATTCAATGGAATTCCAGGTAGCATTGCTTTTACCATGTCATGGTGTAGAGGTTCAGAGCGTTCACCTGAGTGCCAATTGAGGGGGGGGGGGGGTTGAGTCATTTTGGAATCCCAAGTTCGAATCCCAGGATGGACAAAAAGGGTTTGGCATGTTTCCTTTCACCTAATGCATCTGTTCTCCTAGCAGTAAATAGGTACGGTACCCGGGAGTTAGGCAGCTGTTGTGGTGTCGCATCTTGGGGAAGGTCAGTAGTTCAACCTGGTGGAGGCTATACATAGGCTCCCTTTTTGCAACAAAACGAATTATTAAATTATTAAAACACCGCTCCTCACAAATACAGCCACCCCTCGCTAAAACACCCCCCCCCCCTCGCTAAAACACCCAGCTTCAAAGCAGCATATGACAGACTATTGGGAGGCAGGACACCACGATCATAGCTCTTATCCTGTAACTACACTTAAGTAATTACATGGGTAATTGCATGCACTGCAAAATTTCAAACATAGGTTAAGTAGATATACGAGGTAGAGTGGTTGGGTATAAATACTGTAGTTTTCTTTTTCGAGTCAAAAATGCTTTCCGCAGTTTCCTCGTCTTATTTTTTAAAGTTATGAAAGAAGGTTAATCTGTGTGAGAAGTGTTGAAGTAAGAAGACTCACGAAGAGGAGATGCTGGTGTTGGCCCCGTGACAGCCTCGGGTGAAAGTGCTGGACATCACCATATCTCTCAACGTTGACGAAGCTGTAGTCGTCACTGTCGTGGAGCAACACCACCGCCTGGATGGCCTTGCTCAGCATGTTGTACACGAGCACTCGTAGGGAGATCTGCTGACACACTTGTGTTAATGTTGCCCAACTTCACAATGTGTGTGTTGTCATCATTCATTCTGAATTATGTTAACATTAAACATATTGTAGATTTGCTATAAATGGCTGTGGTATTCGGAGACTAAATATACATGTAGATTATGTCAAATATGATGCTTGCAGAGAATGTACCTAAAGATCTATACCTTGTAGATCATCAATCTATAGATATAGACATTAAGGTACTATATGTCCTGTAACATCTATAGTACCTACTTAAAGCCCAGGTTTATGAGAGAGTGTAAGGTTAGATTAATTTTGATATAAATAAATCAAAGCAGCATCAGAGTTCCATATGCAAACCAATTAAAACATTAATAAAACAATTATAAATTTGCAAAGTAGGGTGAAGTGTGCAGAAGTGAGAGCAAACTAAACTAGTTTTTATGTGGGTAGGTTTGTACAAGTGTTGGCTAAAGTAAAATACAGAATATCTCAACTATGTACAGAATATTGTGAATGGTGCGTGGTTAATTTTTTGGGTTATAAACCAGCATTTCAAAAATAACTAATGCCAAATACCAGGAATAATGCTTGACTTTCCTGATCTGCAAAGAAGGGTAGAAACTGCTACTGAGCCGTGTAAACACTATGACTTACCTGTCCTCCCCTGCGACACAGCTGGGCCTTCAACCCCGGACTTACCTGTCCTCCCCTGCGACACACAGCTGGGCCTTCAACCCCGGACTTACCTGTTCTCCCCTGCGACACACGCCTAGGCCTTCAACCCCGGACTTACCTGTTCTCCCCTGCGACACACAGCTGGGCCTTCAACCCCGGACTTACCTGTCCTCCCCTGCGACACACGCCTAGGCCTTCAACCCCGGACTTACCTGTCCTCCCCTGCGACACACAGCTGGGCCTTCAACCCCGGACTTACCTGTTCTCCCCTGCGACACACGCCTAGGCCTTCAACCCCGGACTTACCTGTTCTCCCCTGCGACACACGCCTAGGCCTTCAACCCCGGACTTACCTGTTCTCCCCTGCGACACACGCCTAGGCCTTCAACCCCGGACTTACCTGTTCTCCCCTGCGACACACGCCTAGGCCTTCAACCCCGGACTTACCTGTTCTCCCCTGCGACACACGCCTAGGCCTTCAACCCCGGACTTACCTGTTCTCCCCTGCGACACACAGCCGGGCCTTCAACTGCTATGTAGAAGGGCGGGTCACCAACGAACTGCATGGGAAAATTGTACTTAAAACTTTTGTAATTACAAGATTTAAGTACAAGAAGGTTAAGTTTTGAAGTTAAAATATGAATTAAACAATTAACAGTGAGCCACTGACAAGAGCCTGCGGCAATAGACAACAGCACATCTAATTGAGCTGTCAAATCCATAAACCTAAAGTCAAAATGTATTTCTCTGCCAGAGAACTTAAACACACAGGTTAAGGATAAAGTTGATCATGAGTGACCCTTGGGAGCTAGGTAAAGTAGCAGAGTAAGTATTGTTTTTTTTTTAACCCCTGCACTGTGCACCTATTACACGTAATTACCTAATTACCCAAGTGTAGTTACAGAATGAAAGCTACGCTCGTACTGTCCCGTTTTCCCATACTATTTGTGGTATGGGAAACAGCATTGAAACTACTGACGGTTTTGGCCTCCACCACCACCTCTGTTCCAACATTCTACCACTCTGTTTGCAAAAGAAAATTTTAATATTTTTTTGGCACCTTTGTTTCCTTAGCTTGAATCTTTGTCCTTTTGTTCGTGATGTTGCTGGTTCCAGGAAGTCCTCTGTCAATTTGGTCGATATCTATTAATATTTTGTAAGTGGTGATCATATCTCCTACTACTCTGCTAGTAGCGTGGAGTCTATAGTTTAAAGGTTCTTCTCGGCTACCATTTTTATAAATTGGTACTATGTTTGCCTTTTTCCATATATCTGCCAAGATTCCTGTGCACAAGGATGACTAGAATATTAATTGGAGTGGAATGCTCAGCTCAGCTCAGCTGCACATTCTCGCAGCACCCAAGGTGAAACTTCATCAGGTCCAACTGCTTTATTTCTTCCAAGCCCTTTGAGTAACTTCTCCACTTCGTCTTGAGATACCTCTATGTATTCTATGGGGTACTCTGGAATTGGCATGAGGTCCGGCTCTCCGAGATCCTCATTTTGTACAAACACACTTTGGAATTGTTCATTTAGCGTTTCACACATTGCTTTTTCATTCTCGGTAATCCTGTTCCCCCGTTATCAATTTCTGTATTTTATCCTTTACATGCAGCTTGCTTTTAATGAATTTATAGAAAAAGTCAGTTTTACATTATTCTGCAATACCTTTCTCGAGGTTCCTTTCTGCATCTCTCCTCAATGTTGTGTAATGGTTTCTTGCTTGCTTGTAGTGCTGGCATGTTTGTGGGTTAGGCCTCTTCCTATATTGAACCCATTTTCTCGTCTTTTTCCTCTCTGGCCCTCTCAATTTCAGTTGAACCGATATTGTTTTCAGGTTCTGCACCTCTGTTTTGGTATGAATGTTTGTGTGCCTTCTTCATATATTTCACAAAATTAGGCATACATCTCATTTAATTCTTTACCTAGCAACAAGTCTGTCGAATTAAATTAATTCAGTAATTGTCTAAGTTCCCCATAGTGTCCTCTCTTGAAATCAAGTTTATTAACCGTTTCATTGTCCCCATTCTCTTCTAGATTATATATATATATATATATATATATATATATTTTTTTGTTTTTGTTTTTTTTTAGATATATACAAGAGTTGTTACATGGTTGTAGAGCCACTAGTACGCGTAGCGTTTCGGGCAGATCCCTGGAATACGATCCCCGCCGCGAAGAATCGTTGTTACAACCAAGTACACATTTTACTGTTGAGTTAAACAGAGGCTACAGTTAAGGATTTGCGCCCAGTAAATCCTCCCCGGCCGCTCGCAAAGAATCGCAAAGCATATTTAATTTCCAACAGGACATGATCACTCTTTCCCAAGGGAGGAAGGTACTGATGTTAAATCTCCTCTTTCCTGGTGAATCCAGTATTAACGGAACATCCCCTGGTGATGTTCTTTCCTGGTGAATCCAGGAAGGGGATGTATTAACGGAACATCCCCTTCCTTCATTCTTGTGGCCTATTTGAAGTGTTGATACATGAATGTCCCCAGAATGAGGTTTACAAATCAGCCTGTTCTAATGTCCTCCGTTCTTGCTTCGTAGGCTTCCCAGTCTATTACTTTCACGTTGAAGTCCCTCAGTACCACCAATCGTGGATTTATCTTTATTGTTACTATAATCTTATGACCATTATGAGGCCCTCTCATTTGTCATCCAGTTCCTCTTTTGTCCGTGTGATGCTTGCTGGTGGGCTGAAGGAATTTACGATTATTAATTTATCATCCGGATTCCAAACCGGCAATGCCATTATGTCAACTTCGAGGGTTTTCGATTATTAACTCCTACCTCAGGTGTCACCAGCACAATTCAGATTCAGATTCAGATGTTTATTCAGGTAAGGTACATACATACAAGTGATGTTACATTAATGGATTGATATATAGATGCAGCTAGTACATACAATGCCTAAAGCCACTATTACGCAATGCGTTTCGGGCAAGAAAAACATTAATATCTAGAACTTAATACTAATTGAGCATAAAGAATAAAAAGTGTTGAGAACAAATACAAATAAAGATAAAAAAAAAAAAGGGGGAACAAGACTGAAAAAGCAGCACAAATACAATAGGTTGACAAACAGTGTTGATAAAAAAAAAAGAAAAGAAAATAACAGACATGGGTTGACAATAGAGGAGTGAGGTAGATTACAGGGAATTTATTAGGTAGTGTTTAGTTTTTATCTTAAACTGGTTGAGAGAGGTACAGTCTTTAACATGGTTGGGAAGGTCATTCCACATTCTGGGCCCCTTGATTTGCAGAGCATTTCTAGTTTGATTAAGTCGTACTCTAGGAATATCAAAACTATTTATTTCTGGTGTGGTGCTCATGGGTTCTGTTACAACCTTCTATGAAGCTTTTGAGATCAGGATTGGCATTATAGTTTAGCGTTTTATATATGTATAATACACATGAGAGAATGTGCAGTGACTTAATATCTAACATATTCAGAGATTTGAGTAGGGGTACCGAGTGATGTCTGGGGCCAGAGTTGGATATTGTTCTAATAGCAGCTTTGTGTTGGGTAATTAGAGGACGTAAGTGATTTTGGGTAGTAGAACCCCAAGCACAAATACCATAGTTGAGATAAGGATAGATAAGGGAGTAATAGAGAGTCACCAGGGCAGGGCGTGGTACATAATATCTGATCTTAGAAAGAATGCCCACAGTTTTGGAAACTTTTTTTGATATATTTAGAATGTGTCCCTGGAAATTCAGCTTGTTCACTTCTCCCACTGCCTAGTTGTCCTGTCACGTCTCCAAACTCAGCAGCTCCTTGAGAATACGACCTCATTTAAAGGTTGTGTGCGCGCGTGTTAAGCCTCCTCTCAGGAAGTGGCCAGAGACTGTCAGAAAGGTTGTGACTTGGTGTGTGTGTTATAACTTCAAGGTTTTGATGGATCTATGAGAATAGTAACCTAACCTAACCTAAGGGTTGGTTGGATCTGTAAGAAAAAGAACTCAAGTGTGTAGGAACTCAATTATATACATATTTTATGTATGCATTTATGGATGAACACGAAGCATGGCTGGAGGAATGCATGATTGAACACAGTTTTGGTAACAAGTATATAGGGATTAAAGCATGGAAGGCCATAATTATGAGTGTAGCCTAACATTAAGAATTACAATGCCCTGCTGTATTATTTAGTGAGAACCTGAAGCAAATTATAAACCTCATATACACTCAAAACTCACAACAATCGGCTGGTTGGTGAAGGAAAGGCTGTGGTCGGGATGAAGAGCGTATCCTTCTATGACCCACTCTTCCCCCGTCTTGGGTATCTCTCGCTGCAGCTCCTCCTGCCCGCGGTGATCTGTGTACACATACAACGTCAACTTTTATAATTGCCTCAGAGAATAATACATTGGCACCACAAAACCTTGATCAATCGTTTCATACATCAGTGAAACGTGAGGACGAGAAGACATAATAGAAAGGGAATTCTTTCTCCCAGGACACCACCCACCTTTGTGAAAGGACAGAACAAGAGCAGGCGGGGTGATACTGTATGTGAAACAGGACCTAGATTTTTTTTCTACCACAGACGTTGCCACACATTTACAATGCTAACCAGCATATATACATTTTCTTCTGTCCTCCATGGACAGGGTTAGAGATGTGTTAAACAAATAGTTCAAGGGTTTATTGAACAATCAACCACAGAAGGTGATTCGGTGCTTTTAAAATGCTAAGCTATGCAACCACCAGTGAGGAACTGAACACCTTGGGATCCTCAGAGTCTGGATGGTGCAACATACTAACTCAAGATGGAAGCAAAATGACAGTGGGAGTATGTATGCTACAGCGCTGACACAGCAGGGGCAGAGGAAGCTGCAGATCTGCATAATATGATCATTGCAGCACCAGAAACCCAAACCCTAATAATGTGGTACTTTAACCAGGAAACTATAGATTGGGTAAATCTACATCACAAGCAGGAGAACAATTTCTAGACCTTGTACAGGACTGCTTTCTCATACAGCATGTGGTACAGTAGAGTCCACACGTGGTTGCAGCATTCTAGATCTTGTGCTAACATCAGAAGATGGCATGATTGATCAAATTCAGGTGAGAATGCTGACACCTTCGTGTGATCACACTATTTTAAGGTGGACTACGAATATGGAAACCCACATAAAGGTAAACAATAATTTCTAGATTACCATTGAGGAGACTATCGAGGAATGAGAGAGGAACTGCAAAACATCTCCTGAAGGAAGGCGAACATGGCATGAAAACATCATGGCAAAATTTCAACAGAAACAAAAAGAAAGGGGAACAAGATGGGTGACATGGAACGTAAAACGGACATAGATAACCAAGCGGAACCTCCGGAGAACAAAGTCACGATGAACATCAATGATTACGAGATATATAAACAAGCACTAAATTCGGCTATCTAGAAAATCAGATCAGCCAAAAGAAACAATGAAAGAAAACTTGCCCATTACATAAAAGATCTAAACTAGTTCTATGCTTATATAAGAAGTAGAACCAAAACAAAGGACTCTGTAGGATTAATGGGCGAGTCTGACTGAAATATAATGGACGATATGTGCTAGCTATATGCTGTATTGTGCCTGCTAAGTTCTGTTAAACTACCATTCAAGCTGTCATTGCAATCACTCTGAGCTACCTATGTGCTTTAATATACCTACAATTTTTCCCTCGTCTTTTACTTTTTCATGCTATGTAACTTTTATCATTTTTATAAATTCTGCAAGTATTTACCTACTTATAAGTTTCTTAGATTAAGGACCTGCCCGAAACGCTGCGCGTACTAGTGGCTTTACAAGAATGTAATTACTGTGCTATGTATCCTCACAATCCCAATGTATCTTCTTGTATATATATATATAAGTAAATAAATAAATAAAAGGAAAGTAAACACTAAATTAATATTTTACATCAGAGTTCACACTAGAAAGGTTAGATAGCATTCCATTACCCACACAAGAGGTGGCGAGAATCAATTTAGGGATTTACCCATAACATGCGACATAATCAGGAAAAACATATTCTTCATATTCTAAATTATAAATAAGCCTAAAGTCTACTTCCATAAGTCGATAATGACTGTTTTAGAACCGTGCTTGTGGGACGCATCTCGAGCCGGAGGGAGAAGAAAGGCCTTTATTTGAGAGAGAGAGAGAAGCTCGACCTGTCAATCTGCACATATATAATCTCAAAAAAACTTCTCAAGTCTTGCAACAACAGTCTTCCTGATCCACCGACGAGCTGGCTAGCATTGGGAAGTATACCCGGTTAACCAATAGTATACATTGTAGTGGCCAGTATTTATATACACCGTGTTAATGGGTCATGATGCAGGCGAGTCACCCGGAATGGGTAAGCCTTGTTTTACCCATATATAAGCTGTTCCTTGTTATATTCCGCATATATCAGGTACTGTTTACTATTATGTAATTATCCGGCAGATAAGTTCAAAGGGGAAGGTGAAATGACAACATTTTACTCTGGTGCAACACGAGCCATCCAGAGTCGCCATTAGGGCCTAACCCACACGTTTCAGCACGGAGGCCTAACCCACACGTTTCAGCACGGAGGCCTAACCCACACGTTTCAGCACGGAGGCCTAACCCACACGTTTCAGCACGGAGGCCTAACCCACATGTTAGTGACGGAGGAGAGTCCATTACCAGGCTACATTCTACATAACAGCTGTGTTTAATATTAATACTAATTGTAGTTAACAATTTATAGTAAATTTCTATTAAATGATTAATTTCGATTGATGGACTATGTAATCAACACCCCCCCCCCCCCCCCCCCCCCCCCCAATATGTTAAGGGAGGCTCCTAGCAAGACAATAATCAAATCATACAGTCCACTAAGAAAACACAGTTCACTCAAATTAAATTTAAGCACTTCAGAAATAAATTAATATATTAAAATAAATTAATAAATCAAATAAATGAAGAAATTCCTGCTGGGAGATTTTCCCACAAGAACATTTGTCAGCAATTTTTTCTCCTTTTTCTGCCAATTAGAAATGTTAAATTAATAAATATATACAATATTTTGCATGTTGCTGAAATTACTTGAGCAATATTTTGGAGTGAGTCTTATCTAACGTAATTATTATTTTCTACTACCCTAATACCATTGAATTTGCTAGAATTTCGATACCTTTCCCGAGAGACATTCGTACAAGAAGCCTGTACACACTTTAAATAAATCAAATTGCATAATTGTTTTACAGTGGGTATAGAGAAAACTGTAGGAAAAAAGGAAACACATATACAACCTTAAAATTATATGGGATAGTGTACAAGATTTATGGACCTGAGTTACTGACCCGACAGTTTAAGTGGCTGACTGACATCAGTAACTGGAGCCTTGTTTACCCAGCCACTGATCTCTTGCCTTCCAGAATATGATTTGAACATTTCCCAACATTTTAACACTTCCGGGTTTAATGGAGTCCCGGGTTTAATGAGTAGGGTATAACTCCATATAGGAGTTATATATATATATAACATCCCTATACTCCATAAAGGGACGAAACGTCGTCGTCCCTTCACCTTCTAGTGTGTGGTCTGGTCAACATACTTTAGCCACGTTATTGTGACTCATCGCCTGCATCAAGTGGATACTACGGTACCAACAGACTAAAGGGAAGTATGAAAGAAATCCTTGAGCAGAAATATTGTTGCATCACTCACCAATCCAGATCTCAGAGTTGCACCACTCAACGTCATCTTCATCAAAGATGTCCATAATAAACTGTGTTCTGAAGAGCCGGAAGAGTGAGTCTGAACTGAGCATGAGTGGATCTGAAATAGTCACAGGGAAGATAAGGAATTATCAGTGGATATAAAATGGTCATTGGAAGGCAAAGCACTTGTGAGGGAGGGTGGAGGGGGGGGGGCGCAGGGAAGCTGAAACATGACAGAAGCAACATCACATTTCCAGATGCAACCGATCCCAAAAACACGCTGACTACGCCCACCCAAACCACCGGGGCCCCACACAGGAGTCATAACATATGCATTACCCAGAGGAGGGAATCCTTGGGACCAGACTCCTGAATCTTCTAAATGGAAGATAACCCCTAACCTTTGGTCAGGGTTATCAAACCAGTGAAACAGAATGCAACTCTGGCCAGGTGGACATTGCACGAGTCCATAGGAAGCAAAAGGTGAACATTGCTTGAGTTGATATGAAGCAATTACTGTGAAAGCCACAACCTAACAACTAGAAAAATTACAGGCTCATGATGCGGCAATCTTTCAATCAATGTTAACAAAAAGCATCAGTTAATTACTCACCCTCTTGGTCCTCATGCTGGGCTGGGAAGTCCTCGTACAGCCTCTCACCTGTCAATAAAACATCCAGTATTGAATTCAACGAAACGTCTTTCTGGCGAGTCTCTTCCATGGCATCCTAAAGCTACTCGCCTAGATAGTTCAAAGTTAGCAAGTCAATTTCTGGCCTCAAAAACTGAATCTGGCCCCTTCATTAGAAGCAGGCGAGTCTGGGAATACAAGATCACCACAAGCCAAAAAATATTCCACAAGAAAGTTAGAGTGCCCCCAAACAAGCAACTGCATGAAAACATTGGTAACCCTGTTAACTATACACTCATTGTTCCGACAAAACTACTAGTTAGCAACACTCCCACCACCATATGGCAGTCTCAGAAACTCTAGAGATCCTCCTGGCTACTCCAATCAGACGTGTGCTGCCCATAAACAACCCCTGATACCCTCAGGAAGGAGGGAAGGGCAGGAAGGACGAACCACTGAAGGGAGCCACCAGAAAGAGTCATTTTACTACATTCAACTCTGGATTTTTGGGAGGGTTACCTTTGGTGGCTCCCTGAAACTGAAATTCGCCATATAAAACAAAGGCTGACTGTAGGAGGGAGGAAAATGCAATAAAACACAAACCTGAACAGTCCAGGTCCAAAAACGAAGGAAACAGACAGGAACACCAGCAGCAAATTGAACTGTCCTGCAAAAAGTGCGGGAAGGTGAATGAACCCAACAGACTCAGGATGAAAACTGGGCACCTGAACTGAGGACCTCCCCGAAAATCCCAAGAGAAATGCAAGGAGTGACACACTGGCCCACCAGGCAAGGCAAAAGAAGATAATCCCAACGTCAATAGATCAACACCATCAACCCCAAGTCACCAAAAAGTTGACACAAAAGCAACAAACAGGACCAAACGAAGAAAGAAATTGCTAGTTAGGGGGGGGGATAGAAAAAAGAGATACCTGGGTTAGACAAAAAGGCTAATGAGAATAAAAAGCTGGACAGAAAGCCAAATCGCTGAGATAATAACCAAAGCAGCTAAGAAGACAACCGCAGATAAGATAGAAGACACGACAGGCACAAACCACCTCCAAGAAACCCCACATAGAAGAAGATCTGCACAGATGAGGCAGCCACAGGATACACAGAGGACAACAGAGTGAGGAACACTGAACTACAGAGGTCACACAGGAAGAAAGGAGAGGCAGCCCCCAACCACTAAGGAACATTACCCAACAAAGCCTCGGAAGATGGAACATCAAAAGATGCACGGGAGTAAATACTGATCCCCCAAGATACAGAAAGTAAGGTTGAACCAGCCACCAATGCGGCTAACACATCAAACCAGACGACAGGCCTGATCTCATCGAAACCTCTAAAATACTGAACAGTTTGGAGGATAATTATCCAGATCACTTCTTTAAAAGGTAAAATGTAATGTACAGAGAGCAACAAGGAACTGTTGGCAGCTGATAAGAATCGAGCTGCTTGGAGTCCAAACTAGCCAGTTGTCGAGGCTGGAAAAGATGTGGGAACCCAAAGACACAATAGCCAAAAAATACAACACCAAAATTTGTTCCGGGTGTCAGGGACTAACTGTTACGAACCCGGATCCAGCGTCCGAGCAGTAACGACCACGCCATCTGTTGGCCAGCTCCCGAAACCCCCGCCAAACGGACGACGACACCTGGTGAGGACAAGGTGTACCAGCCACAAGGGCCAGTTTCCAGTCCTGTGCAGCTCACAACACAGCCGCTCCTGACCTCTGGTGAGGTGGTGCTCCGACGACAGCGCCATCTATGGACTGGATACGTCAGGTGTTTGTGCCCGAGCCCGTAAGTGAGGTGTTTTAGTGTGTCCCAGTCATTGATGACGTGTCTGTTTACAGAGTCGACCTGGGACCGCTGTGTTGAAGGTTGAGTCAGTCTACCCGAGGCAGCCAGTCTCCATACCTTGAACCTTGCTGCAGCTGTTGTGAAGTCGTCCCCCCCGGAAGAACACTGTGGTGTGTTAGCCTGCCAGTGGAGTGGCAGTAAAAGGATTTACCCGGGACCGACTGTTGGAGACGATCATCCACTGGGGTGCTGAAGACAGGAGAGTGATTTGTGGTGTCACACGAGGCTCCTGTCTAGGGCGTTCCCCTTTGATCGTTCGTGGAGTGGCCGTACCAGCCTTGTTGGCTCAGAACCTGCCAGCAGACCAGCTGGACGTGTGGTTGACGGCCTCCACGGCGGTGCCCCAGTGGACATGTGTTTTGGCTGACCTGTGGCCAGGGTAGGCTCAGCTTCTTTGAAGAATTCGTTGTGTGGCCACGAAGAAAGCACCAAGGACTCAGCGCCTAGCTTCTGGATCCAGAGTCTTCAGCAGAAGACTACATTGTGAAGAATCCCCTTGTCCAGTGTTAATATCCCTCCCCCTTGTGCACTCCTTTATTGTATATATTTAATCGGTGATGGTGAAAATTATAATATTAAGTTCTTAGCTTTCTTTCCCTACTCCCTTTAAGTTACTTGCATCACGGATCTCATCCCTTGATAGCCACTACTGGCTTGGGAACGGATATCTATATCTGACTAACAACATCAGAGTGAGAACCCCGTTGCGTCCCGAGAGGGTCGTAACACTAACTACTGAATCAAGGAGCCCAGCATAACAGGCCAGGGAGCCACAGAACCAGAAAAACCGGTACTCGACAAGACACAGCCTGGAAAGCCAGGGACACTGACCAAGACCCTTCCACCTGCAGGGTGGAGAGAAGACGGAAGTCAATCCACCCCAAAAATGGTAGGCATGCCAAGCCAAAAAATCCAAGGAATGACAACTAGATAGGAAGAGACGTAGAACATCAAACCTCGAACAGAAAGACCTGGACCCCAAAACAAAACAAGGTCAGAATGAACTCCAATGCGAGACAATGGCCCTAACGTGGGAGCCGACATAAGATCACCCAGACCACAGCCAGGGAAGACGAGACAGTGGATGTCTCGTCTTCGTCTTCTGGGTGAGCCCCGGAGGTTTCCCTGGAACTATCAGGCTGATACATGTTATATTAGTCTGGAGAATCAGTCAATTGGAGTTCAGCCTACTGGGGACCACGAGTCAGAACCTGGCCCCCCTCAGAGAGGCAAAGGGAGCAATGGCCTATATAAACCCTCATGGGGTTGGGGGCAGTCCTCGTTTACCATCGACCAGGGTTGGCACCCAGAAAGGTAGGTATAATAAAAACTCCAATAGGCAAGAAATTGCAACCGAAAACCCAACAGGGAGGCAAAACTCGCCCTACAAATTAAGGAAACAAGCAGACGTCACGCGCCGCCTGGCCGCGCAGCTTCCCTACCGGGGAAGGGAAGCCTCGAAGGGAAGCCCCTCCGTGCAGGCAGAGGGGGGGGGGGACCAAAACCTGGCTCAAAACCCTTTAAGCCGCGAAACAAAACCTGGGCCAGGTTTTGTCTCATGGTCCGCGGTAGGCTGAACTCCAATTGACCGATGTCCCAGACTAATATAACACAACCTGATAGCTCCAGGGAGCCGTAGAGGCTCCTCTCGGAAAAATCCAGGTGGCTGACTACTGAACAAACTCGCCCTTAATATTGAAGAAACTTTTTACATATTTGAAAATGAATCACCAGTCAGATCTAAGAGTACAAAGTTTAAACTTTATGGAAAGGGCCCCTCTTCATAATAAAAATAATTTACCGTGTCTGGGGACAGGCAGTCATGCAGTGTATATATACCGTGTCTTCCGGCGAATAAGATGCACCCTCGCATAGGACGCACCACTATTTTACAAGGCTATTTTGTGGAAAAACTACTTTAGTATGTTTCATCATACATTTATTGAATATTTTGAAGTGGATTTTGTACCCCGACTCTTACCTCCTCTAATATCAGCTGTTGTTGATTTAGGAGCGACGACGATCATGGGATGGGATGCGCCCCGGCGTACCCCGAGATGGGATAATCGCGAAGCCCGGAAAGGTGGAACGCCAAGCCAAATCGCAAAACGAGTGAAGCCAAACACTATAAACTAACATACCATACGGCAAATAAACGCACAGACGGGCAGATTGGGGAGCCCCAGGAGTCCCATAGGGTGACAAGCACCGGCCCCGCTCCACACAGAGAACACCAGGTAGCAAAACGAAAACTCGGCAGAGCAAAAGCCGGCCGCCCACCATGACTGAAGGCACACCAGGAGCCCACCAAGACCCACCAACCCCGGCACCTCTCGGCCAAGCCGGCCCCCGAACACCTTCACCCCGCCGGGAGAACCAGCCAGAACACGCCAAAAAATAATCTATCAACAATCCCGTGACCCAAGGCGATGTGTGCGCCAGGCGTCGTACAACCTGACCGTTGAATAAGGATGTCAAACGGCAATATCAAAGCCAAAACGCGGAAACAAGACGTGATCTGGCGGCTCCCAGGTGGAGGTGTCCAGACGTCCGCTCGGCGTCAAAGTTGAACCAGGAGTCCTTAATATCAGCTGTGTAGTTGTTTATATTCTGGGCAAGAGAATTGCTATACAGAATGTGACACTTGTATTTCTGGATATGATGTTTCGTGTTGCCGCATCAGGCCACCAGGGCGGCGCACCCGGTGGTGGCGCACAGACACACATCTCTGGGTTTTGTTGTCATTCACTCATTGCAAATGGTTGATAGGAGGATGAAAATTTAACATTCCTTTCAAATTTCTAGGAGCATTTTTCATTTAGATTAATTTGGCTTGTTTTTAATATTTTGTTATTAGCAACGAATTTTGTGCCTAGAGAACTTACGGAGTATGCTCGTCTGGCTCCCGGCCTATATGGCGCTCGTCTCACTACGGCAATTTTTTTATACATTTAAAAATAAAAAATGCGCGTCTTATACGCTGGTAAATATGGTAAGTTAGGTTTAAATTGAGGTTCCACCCGAAATAACACGCCACCAAATCTGTGGGTGTGCATGAAACCGCTGACTAAGGCTGAACTGAACTCGGCTGAGGGAGGCTCCTGAGCTCCCTCGAGGCTACGCTGCCGTCTTGACTGCTGGCTTTTGTTTAAATAACACTGCACTAGTATATTTAATGAATCCACTGGATAACTGGTTCATCCAGTACTAAGATGACCAAATGTGGGTTCAAAGGATCAAATAATCCGTCATCCGGTTCGAAGATGACCAAATAATGTGGGAACCGACCTGTGAGATTTATATTTATTTAATTTATATGAATTTATATTTACGTTAATTTATATACTTCGATGGCAATTTGTATAATGATAAGTGGACTGTATTTCTGCAATAATCTCAATCTCACAAATCGATCCTCTACACATTAGGGGGGTTTATATTTATATGTATGCAGCCAATCAAACTACAGTAATAGCTACATACATTGATGAGGTTCCTTCTCTTATAGTACAGCAGGTTAGTCCACCAGGTATAACTAAGGCCAGATTCTATATATGACAAGTATATCAGAGAAAACACTATACAGTACATGGAACATGAAGACCTGGCTTAATTACCTTTAGTATGAGGCGATTTCGCGTTCTAACCGGGTCACCCTATATAATGACATTAATGGCCACTAATGATAGATAATGGGTTTCGGAAAGAACACTTAACTTGATATGTTGACAGCGTGTTGACAGATGGTACACCTTTGGTATCCATAACACTACGTCCAAGTAAAATTAACAGGAGCCGAATTTGCTCCCGTGTGAGCCTCTGGTCTAGTATAAACAATAATGGCTGCCCTCCTTCCCCACTGACGCCTGGCCTACTTTGTCCAGATTTCAAACTACTAACTCTTCCCAGGATGACCACATCACAAGAAGCTGACAAACTCCTGGGGTACCTATTTACTTCTAGGTAAACAGGTGCATTAGGATATAGGAAACATGCCCAACCTTTTCTGTCTCGCCCGGGATTCGAACCCAGAATTCCTGAGTGAAAGTCAATAACACACGTGACGGAACTACCAGGACTCGCCTCAGGATAGTTGGCTTGAGAAATTCTCTCTAACTTCACTGCCAAGTTGTAAACATCTGTGAGACATAACATTTAATTCACAACTTGTGAGACGAAAATTGGAATATGTAGCACTTGTATGGTGTCTATGTCAAGAAGCACACAAATAAAAGGGTCCCGGTAGCACAGTCAGATTCGTTCTCAACTCTAAATCGAGAAGTCCTGGTTCGAATCCCGGGCGGGACAGAAAGAACTGGGTGAATTTCCTATCACCTAATGTCTCTGTTTACGTAGTAGTAAGTAGGTACTCAGGAGTTAGTCAGCATGTTGTGTGGTTGTATCCTGGACGGGGTCAGTAGTTCGACCTTGGGGGGGGGGGCACGACCTCAATATAAGCCTAACGTGTATGAATACACCCTGGCTGCCTGTCCCCCGACACAATGAATTATAATTAAACTGGAAAAGGTGCAAAGGCATGCTACAAAATGACTTCCGGAACTGAAAAAAAAGCGTTACAATGAGAGACTAGAGGCATTATAGATGCCAAAACTAGAAGAAAAAACAGGTTATATGATCACCACTTACAAAATACTAACAGGAATCGACCAAATTGACAAAGAGGAATTCCTGAAACCAGTAACTTCACGAACACGAGGACACAGATACAAGCTAAGGAAATAAAGATGCTGAAAAAAATATTAGAACGTTTTCTTTTGCAAACAGAATGGTAGATGGTTGGAACAAGTTAGGTGAGAAGGTGGTGGAGGCTAAAACCGTCAGTAGTTTCAAAGTGTTATACGACAAAGAGTACTGGGAAGACGGGACACCACGAGCGTAGCTCTCATCCTGTAACTACACTTATATAATTACAAGCTCATTCTAAGAAACTTCTGAAAAGCAAAAATATGAAAGCACACTTTGTTGTAAATGGCTGACAGGTGCAAGATCCAGCCAGGTGAGATAGATATATATCAGTGGTACACATGTTTGATCATTCCCTACAGCCCTGCTTCTTTGGGCCTTTCAAGTGAATTGTAGTGTAATGTAACTGATATTTTCAGCCGAAGTCTGAAGGAGATTGCAAGTAAGTGGACTTCCATATTAGTTGAGTTTTCCAGTAATAATAATCTTTCAAGAAGAAGGCATTTATTTTTTTTATTATCATATATACAAGAGTTCTTACATTCTTGTACAGCACTAGCTATAGCACGCATAGCGTTTCGGACAATCTCATTTCATCCCTTACAGCACACATTTATATTGTCTTATGAGTAAATAACAAGCTGGTTCCTTTATATAAATTCAATCATCTATTTATAAAGGAAGATAAAACAGAGAGAAGCGAGAAGCTACCTCACCCGTCTCAATAGGTCACAACATGGCGCGAGAACCATATACTGAGTGAGGGACACCTGTCACCTGCTCCATCACACCCTCCCTAAAGCACTCCCTTACACCCTATCTCAAGGTCCATCACACCCTCCCTAAAGCACTCCCTTACACCCTATCTCAAGGTCCATCACACCCTCCCTAAAGCACTCCCTTACACCCTATCTCAAGGTCCATCACACCCTCCCTAAAGCACTCCCTTACACCCTATCTCAAGGTCCATCACACCCTCCCTAAAGCACTCCCTTACACCCTATCTCAAGGTCCATCACACCCTCCCTAAAGCACTCCCTTACACCCTATCTCAAGGTCCATCACACCCTCCCTAAAGCACTCCCTTACACCCTATCTCAAGGTCCATCACACCCTCCCTAAAGCACTCCCTTACACCCTATCTCAAGGCTCACACCCTCCCTAAAGCACTCCCTTACACCCTATCTCAAGGTCCATCACACCCTCCCTAAAGCACTCCCTTACACCCTATCTCAAGGCTCACACCAACATACAAGGTCACAGACACATGCAGGTTCATAAATATAATAAAAAAGCATAAAAAGTTGCAAAAAAGACTCACATCCTAGTTCATCGAAGGCATTGGTACAGTGGTTCTTGCCGTCACAAAGATGGTCATGAAGGAAGCAGGTCCCATCTCCACACTCCAGGTGACCCTTTCTGATATCACATCTCCTTTCTGTCAAGAGGAATGCACCTTGTCATTCTCTACAACAACACTGTAGTTTGATTTTTAGTGTAAATTAAATAATTTCATCGAAGACATGTCCCAGTTTGGTAACTTTTTCTCTGAAAAGATTATAATGTTTTCAAACTTTGCAAGACCTAAGCTCAAGATCTGATCAGATCCTTCTTCAAAATTCAAGAATGAATTAATATTACTTTCTCAACCCAATTTACCTTCTTGTATATAAATTAATAAATTATTTATGCATTATGTTCAAAGACTATTTTCATAAAAACAATGAACCATTTTACATATTCAAGACAATTTTTATGCTAATAAATGAGGCCCACCAAAGTTTTACCCATCTTTAAGTTGTAGGAGATTTATATGCTTAAACAGGCAAAGATAATCCATGCAAATTTACACAAAATTTTCACCTTCAGCAGATCATGTATGTTCAATATACCAACGGTACCTCATCATGTCCGTATATCACAAGTACATCAAAAGGTCACAGGTCTAACAACACTGCAGATCAGAAATGACAGGATTAATCTCATCAAAACTTGTATAATTCTGAATAATTTGAAGGATATTAATCCCAGACCACTTCTTTAAAAAGTAATGACATATAGGTTATATCTTGAGGTTATCTTGAGATGATTTCGGGGCTTTTTAGTGTCCCCGCGGCCCGGTCCTCAACCAGGACTCCACCCCCAGGAAGCAGCCCGTGACAGCTGACTAACACCCAGGTTCCTATTTTACTGCTAGGTAACAGGGGCATAGGTTGAAAGAAACTCTGCCCATTGTTTGTCGCCGGCGCCTGGGATCGAACACAGGATCACAAGTCCAGCGTGCTGTCCGCTCGGCCGACCGGCTCCCATTTCTTTTGCAAACTATAATACAAAGACCCAGGATAAAAAGATCAGTAGAGAGAGAATATTACTAAACAAAGAATATGCAGTAACCTGTGCCAGGAGCGAGGGCGACGGTGGCGTCAGTGAGGAGTATGAGGGCAGCGTCCTGGAAGGTGGCGAGGACGTCTCTGGCGTAGCTGTGGGCCGGCAGGGACACCAGACGGTCAGCTAACTCACCTTCCCGTGAGCGATGCAGCACCGCGTGGTTAGTTCTGCACCAGACAACATCCATAATACAACGACACAAATAATAGCGTTAAGATGGAAATTACTGGGTGAAGTTTGTTATCTTAGAGATGAAAAGATTAGAGAGTTTTTGGACATGAGAATCTGTATGCAATTTAGAATGTTAAAAATTAGTAATTGTTATGTTAGTAATTATTACTTACTATATATATATGTAAGTATCTCTTATTGGTGTTTATTACTCATGATGTTTGGTCCGTTATTTAATGTTGCTCAACAGTACAACTAAAACTCATCACTGTTACCCTGGATGAATACCACCTCCACTCAGCTGCTATGATAGTCAATCCTCACCAGAAGAATATCTCAACATTACTGGACAATTTATGCTGGGGCCGAGCCCGAGCCCCCACTAAATTACAGTACTGTATAACCATAGACTATAATAAGTTTAGTCTACATATAAAGCCAGGGCTTAACTTGGTTTGTTTCACACTTCATACATGATGGGTTTTCCATCAATTGACTATTTGGGGGAGAGAGTGGGACGAGCGAGCGGCGCTTTGGTTTGATGACGTTTTTCACGGGGAGAGTTCTTGGACTGTTCGGTCTTGGGTTGGAATGTTCTACCAGTTGGGGTTTGTTTTGGACGCCTTTCTGGGTGCCTTTCCTGGACGATGGCAGGCATGACTGTACTCTCAGGCAAGGGAGTTATATAGGCCATTGCTCCCTGCGCCTCTCTGAGGGAGCCAGGTTGTGTCTCGTGGTTCCCAGTAGGTAACAACTCCATGTGACTGATGCCTCACACTAATATAACATATATCAGCCTGATAGTTCCAGGGAGCCTCCGGGACTAACCCAGAAAATGGCGTTTCATTACATTCAACGCTGGTTTATTCATTATAATTTATAATTCATTATGGTGCGGGACAAGAAGCCAGTTTATACACACAGTTAGGCCTATATCTAGGGGTCATATATACCCCCAGGGTCAAATTACTGATCCTCCCCAGGGCGCAACCCACAACAAGTTGACTGTCTCCTGACTATGTATTTACTGCTAGATGAACAAGACCATTAGGTAATAGGAAATGTGCCCAACTAGTTCTGTCCTGCCCGGGATTCAAACCTGGAATTCTCGATTGAGTCGAGAACGAACCTGACTGTACTACTGGGACTATACTGAACACTTGCTTGTTCCAAAGGAGTTTCCTGCCTTATCAAATTGTAAAGATTGTCAGCCTCAAGGGATAATCATGCCAAGTGAGAAATTTATACCTCAATAATTTTGATGAACGATTTAACTAAGGAATAGTTATAGTACAATATGTCAGGTCTGAATAATATATAAATGAGCCATTCTTTTATGTCAAGGGCGACAAGACCATAGGATTAACACAACTAGAAATCACACCGACATGATGGGATAAAAGTTAATTTGATAGCTATTTAATTATTCAAGTTCCTTCTATACAAATATAAACCATGGGGGGAGGGGCAAGGTTTACAAGTGGTAGTGGCCTGACCTGTGTAATGGCTCCATGTTAGCCATGGTGTGAATGATGCGGGAGTGTGTGAGGGCATTAGGGTGCTGCCTCTGATAGTTGAGGCCACGCTGGCAGAAGAGAACATACAGGGACCCGGGAGGAGCACCCACCACCACCTCCACTGTCTTCTTGGAGTGGTCCTTGTGCTGGTTCATAGACAACCGCACCTACAACCAAATATAACAAAGTAATAACAATAACACATTGTCATACAACACAAATAATAGAAATATTCTTAAATGTTATAAATTTAAAAGCTAATTAGTGTGCATTAGCAAGTATTACCAAGGTAATTAGTGTGCATTAACAAGTATTACCAAGGTAATTAGTGTGCATTAGCAAGTATTACCAAGGTAATTAGTGTGCATTAGCAAGTATTACCAAGGTAATTAGTGTGCATTAGCAAGTATTACCAAGGTAATTAGTGTGCATTAGCAAGTATTACCAAGGTAATTAGTGTGCATTAGCAAGTATTACCAAGGTAATTAGTGTGCATTAGCAAGTATTACCAAGGTAATTAGTGTGCATTAGCAAGTATTACCAAGGTAATTAGTGTGCATTAACAAGTATTACCAAGGTAATTAGTGTGCATTAGCAAGTATTACCAAGGTAATTAATGTGCCTAAGTATTACCAAGGCAATCAGTTGCATAAGCAAGTATTACCAAAAATAAGTATTATATGCCAGCATCAGTAATCAGGGTGGATGACCCTGTAAAATCTGATTATCACTTCCTGTTTCACTTCTCTCCCTCTCCCTGCCTCACACCTCAGGTGTACCACACACACTCCCTCTCCCTGCCTCACACCTCAGGTGTACCCCACACACTCCCTCTCCCTGCCTCACACCTCAGGTGTACCACACACACTCCCTCTCCCTGCCTCACACCTCAGGTGTACCACTCTCCCTCTCCCTGCCTCACACCTCAGATGTACCACACTCTCCCTGCCTCACACCTCAGGTGTTCTTGTATCAGGAGTTCCGTTACAGATACAGCCTCATGAGATCTTGATACATTACCTGCATGTTATATTAGACGTTGATGCCCACCCCTCCCTCCCTCCCTCCCCTTATATTGATGGCACCTCCCTCTCTCTCCCTCCCTCCCCTTATATTGATGGCACCTCCCTCTCTCTCCCTCCCTCCCCTTATATTGATGGCACCTCCCTCTCCCTCCCTCCCCTTATATTGATGCCCCCTCCCTCTCCCTCCCTCCCTCCCCTTATATTGATGCCCACCCCTCTCTCCCCCTCCCTCCCCTTATATTGATGGCACCTCCCTCCCCTTATATTGATGCCCTCTCCCTCCCTCCCCTTATATTGATGGCACCTCCCTCTCCCTCCCTCCCCTTATATTGATGCACCTCCCCCCTCCCTCCCCTTATATTGATGCACCTCCCTCTCCCTCCCCCCCTCCCTCTCCATATTATGAAAGATTCTAACATCTCACCTCCATGCTATCAAACATCTTGACTGGGAGGGTGAGAGAGTCAGCAAGGATCTCTCCGTCATCTGTGGTGACATAGACGAGGATGGTGAACCTCGGGGCCATGGAGGAGGCCACAGTGATGCTGGTGGTCACCACGTTATCACCATGAGTCACCTCACGTGATGAGTAAACCATCACACCTTTGGAGATAATCTGTTGAGAGATGATGCAAGTTAGCTGCTGTAATTGGCTGAAGTTGTAGCAATTATTGCTAGATGGAGCTAGATGGAGCAACCCATGGAGTGAACGACATGGAAGAAAGTGCAGAATAGAACCCGTGAAGAGCAAAGGTGCCATAGGCACAATCAGAGAACACTGAATAAACATCAGAGGTCCGCGGTTGTTCAACGTCCTCCCAGCGAGTATAAGAAATATTGCCGGAACAACCGTGGACATCTTCAAGAAAAAACTAGATTGTTTCCTTCAAGGAGTGCCGGACCAACCGGGCTGTGGTGGGTATGTGGGCCTGAGGGCCGCTCCAAGCAACAGTCTGGTGGACCAAACTCTCACAAGTCAAGCCTGGCCTCGGGCCGAGCTTGGGCAGTAGAAGAACTCCCAGAACCCCATCAACCAGGTATATGTGGGCCTGCGGGCCGCTCCAAGCAACAGCCTGGTGGACCAAACTCTCACAAGTCAAGCCTGGCCTCGGGCCGAGCTTGGGGAGTAGAAGAACTCCCAGAACCCCATCAACCAGGTATATGTGGGCCTGCGGGCCGCTCCAAGCAACAGCCTGGTGGACCAAACTCTCACAAGTCAAGCCTGGCCTCGGGCCGAGCTTGGGGAGTAGAAGAACTCCCAGAACCCCATCAACCAGGTATATGTGGGCCTGCGGGCCGCTCCAAGCAACAGCCTGGTGGACCAAACTCTCACAAGTCAAGCCTGGCCTCGGGCCGAGCTTGGGGAGAAGAAGAACTCCCAGAACCCCATCAACCAGGTATTGCTAGACTGAACATATGCAAATATCACCCCTATTTTCCAAAGAGGCAGAAAGAGCTCAACAAGAAATTATCGTCCTATCAGCTTGACATCACACATCTGTAAGCTTATGGAGAAAATCCTAAGGGAGGGAATCATTCGCCATCCTTCAGCGAACAATCTTGTAAAATCGACACCACATAGGTCTGTTGAAAATAGATCTTGCGACTCTCCCAGGGAACCAACACATCAAGAATAGGTCGGTAACTAGCCGAAGCCGCCGACAAAAACTGAGAAACACAGTCCTCAGGGAAAAAGTAAACAAAATGGCAAATAAAACTGAAGAGCCAAGGCCCAAGCCGAATCCAACGAGAGAGCCAGCACAGCCTGCCAACACGCGAGATGGGAGGTGAAAAACATGGAAACCGCTTCCCGGAAGATCGGCACAACAGCTTCAGCAAAGCAGACGATGCAGAAGCAGCCGAGACAATTTAAGGCCCTTGCCAAGGGCCCCCACATCCTGCGCCCCTGTATCTAAAAATATGAAAGCCATTCTGAAACCCACTCTGCCTCTGCATTCTGAAAGCCAATCTTAAGACAGCACCAAAAGACCAAAGAAACACAAGACAGAGGCCCAATGACCGTGTGTCCTAAAGTCATCAGCCACCAAAGCAGCAGAAAAGAGAAGGGACCTGAGCATGCAGTTGCACAAGACCAACATCCCGAGGAAGTGCAGGGGCGAAGAGACACTCATTGAGAAATCCCAGAGCCCCCAAGAACACCTGCAACACCGTGGAAGCTTCCCGCTACTCAAGTGCGCTGGTACGACAAAAGCCAAGCCCCAAGAGAGAAGAAGAAATAGTCTGCCAGCCAGGAAGACTCCGGAACCTTATAACAAACCCAATACTGGCAAGAGGAGCTGAACGCAGAGGAACCCGGATCCACCACTGAGGTGTAAACCGGGTCCTACAGGAGGTAAGCACCGAGGGCCTCCCGATCCTCCGCACAGGAAACCCTCCAGAAGGATGAATCCCAGAAACCCAAGGGCCCCTGGGTTGGGGGGGGGAGCCCCACCCAACTGAAACTCAAGGAGGGTATATATTTACAATTACTTTCACATATATTTACAATTACTTTCACATATATTTACAATTACTTCACATATATTTACAATTACTTTCACATATATTTACAATTACTTCACATATATTTACAATTACCTTCACATATATTTACAATTACTTTCACATATATGTGTACAATTACTTTCAAATTCAAATATTTATTCAGGTAAAGTACATACGTACAAGGGGTGATACAAATATTGATGAATTTAGAGAGAACTAGTACATACAATATATTACAATTACAATGTATAGTACACATATATTTACAATTACTTGGTTCTGGATAGTAAACTGTCACCAAAGGATCATATCAATGGCGTTGTGAGAGGAGCCAATGCTATTCTAGCAGATTTCCGAATGGCTTTTAAATTTACGGAGGGAAATATTCCGGAAACCATTCACGACATTCATCAGATCAACATTATTAATTATTATTACAATATGCAGCAATTGTGTGATGTCCCTATTTCAACAGAGCACATCAATGGACTTGCTACTAAATGGCTTCCAAAACTCTAAGACAACACCAAAGAGGAGAGGCCGGAGGTGTTATATATACCAAAGCTGGAAAATAAAAGAAAAGGAGGTATTTTTATCACGATAAATAAAACAGTGACAGGAATTGACATAGTTAACGTAGGTAGTAACTAAGTGATTGTAACCTATCCACCGCCGCCCACTGGATGGGGGGCGGTGTAACCTATCCACCGCTGCCCACTGGATGGGGGGCGATGTAACCTATCCACCGCTGCCCACTGGACGGGGGACGGTGTAACCTATCCACCGCTGCCCACTGGATGGGGGACGGTGTAACCAATCCACCGCTGCCCACTGGATGGGGGGCGATGTAACCTATCCACCGCTGCCCACTGGACGGGGGACGGTGTAACCTATCCACCGCTGCCCACTGGATGGGGGACGGTGTAACCTATCCACCGCTGCCCACTGGATGGGGGGCGGTGTAACCTATCCACCGCTGCCCACTGGATGGGGGGCGGTGTGCAGGACAAACATATAAATTTTGACACTAGCTCTCCACATATGTCTGTTGCTTAATTTAGAACCTGTACTTGTGATCGATCTCGAACCCATTGTTGATGTGACGACTTATATTGAATTTTGTAACTAGCTCATCAAGATTGTAACTTGCTTAGCTAAATGAATTGTGGGGTTCAGTCCCTGAGCCCATTATGTGCCTCTGTAACCCACTACCGCCCACAACATGGGTATGGGGTGCATAATAAATGAACTAAACTAAAAAAAAAGTAATTAACAAGGAAGCATTTTTCAAACGAGCCCCTTCAGTCACTCACCGTGTACACAAACTGTTCAATAGGAAAATTGCTGCGAATGTGGAAGACAGCAAACTCCCCCACGCTGGCCTCATCTGTGCTGCTGGTAACTTGGATATACCTGACCAAGAAAGACCAGCCATAGGTGATCAAATAATTCTGAAATGGTATTCTTATAAGAAAATTTAATTATATTTTGAGTAATAATTGGTTTATAAAATGTAATGGGCTCCTGTTGATGTATGCAGAGGTCTGCTATAGTGAGTTAATATAGGCATACGTATACTACAGTGGCTTGAGGGCTGTTACTGAAGATGAGGACCTTCTATTGTGGATCAAATGTTGATTCAGCAGTTAAGAGCTGCTACAGTGGGGCAGGGGCTGCTACAGTGGGGCAGGGGCTGCTACAGTGGGGCAGGGGCTGCTACAGTGGGCCAGGGGCTGCTACAGTGGGGCAGGGGCTGCTACAGTGGGGCAGGGGCTGCTACAGTGGGCCAGGGGCTGCTACAGTGGGCCAGGGGCTGCTACAGTGGGCCAGGGGCTGCTACAGTGGGCCAGGGGCTGCTACAGTGGGCCAGGGGCTGCTACAGTGGGCCAGGGGCTGCTACAGTGGGCCAGGGGCTGCTACAGTGGGCCAGGGGCTGCTACAGTGGGCCAGGGGCTGCTACAGTGGGCCAGGGGCTGCTACAGTGGGCCAGGGGCTGCTACAGTGGGCCAGGGGCTGCTACAGTGGGCCAGGGGCTGCTACAGTGGGGCAGGGGCTGCTACAGTGGGGCAGGGGCTGCTACAGTGGGGCAGGGGCTGCTACAGTGGGGCAGGGGCTGCTACAGTGGGGCAGGGGCTGCTACAGTGGGGCAGGGGCTGCTACAGTGGGGCAGGGGCTGCTACAGTGGGGCAGGGGCTGCTACAGTGGGGCAGGGGCTGCTACAGTGGGGCAGGGGCTGCTACAGTGGGGCAGGGGCTGCTACAGTGGGGCAGGGGCTGCTACAGTGGGGCAGGGGCTGCTACAGTGGGGCAGGGGCTGCTACAGTGGGGCAGGGGCTGCTACAGTGGGGCAGGGGCTGCTACAGTGGGGCAGGGGCTGCTACAGTGGGGCAGGGGCTGCTACAGTGGGGCCAGGGGCTGCTACAGTGGGCCAGGGGCTGCTACAGTGGGCCAGGGGCTGCTACAGTGGGCCAGGGGCTGCTACAGTGGGCCAGGGGCTGCTACAGTGGGCCAGGGGCTGCTACAGTGGGCCAGGGGCTGCTACAGTGGGCCAGGGCTGCTACAGTGGGCCAGGGGCTGCTACAGTGGGGCCAGGGGCTGCTACAGTGGGGCCAGGGGCTGCTACAGTGGGCCAGGGGCTGCTACAGTGGGCCAGGGGCTGCTACAGTGGGCCAGGGGCTGCTACAGTGGGCCAGGGGCTGCTACAGTGGGCCAGGGGCTGCTACAGTGGGCCAGGGGCTGCTACAGTGGGGCAGGGGCTGCTACAGTGGGGCAGGGGCTGCTACAGTGGGGCAGGGGCTGCTACAGAGTGAACTGAAAAGATCCCAGTGAATTGTGGTTGATAAAGTTGGTGAAGGTGTCCGACCTCCGGTGAGGGTGGTGGTGGGCGTAAGCATAGGCAGCTGTAGAGGCGTGACTGTGCTCGTCACTGTAGGTAACGTCCACACGCAGTGATGCTGCATCATCTGGGATGTCCAGCTCAAACCTGCAGTGATAAGATCAAGAATGAGGTGAAGGAAGTACCATGTAGCTTAACTGTTTATGTTTAACTGATAAATATTAAGTATAATGGCAGCTGTTATCTTCCCATAAGGTCTTAATAATGAATAAACTGTGGATAAGTAGGCTATACATTGTCCAAACACCATCTATTATTGCAGCAATGTAAAACCTCCTTGGTGGAGGGTAAAGAACTAATTTGAGTTTTTTTTAAAAACAACAACGCTGTTTGTCGACCTAATTGTTATTTGTGCTGCTTTTTCAGCCATGTTCCCCCTTTTTTGTCTTTATTTTTATTTGTTCTCGACACATTTTATTCTTTATACTCAATTAGTATTAAGTTTTAGTCATTAATGTTTTTCCTGCCCGAAACGCTTTGCGTAATAGTGGCTTTAGGCATTGTATGTACTAGCTGCATCTATAAATCGATCAAATTTTGGAAAATCTCTTGTATGTACCTTACCTAAATAAACATTTTATTTTATTTTTATTTTTTGAAAGAAAGTGTTTTCATAATGCCACGTGTGGTGGTGTGAGGTCTTATATGATCCACGTGTGACTGCCAGTTCCACAACACTATAATGAGATACAAGTGTATATGATGCTGGTCCTCTGATACTTGGACAAGACTCACCTGTAGATACCAGTCGTCCGGTACTCTGACAAGGACTGTTCTCTGGTATAGTCATCCATCAGGTCCTCCAGCTCCCTCTCCGCGACAACTACTTCATTCATGTACTCAGCGTTCAGTGGCTGGTGGTCCTCTAGACCAACCTGGTATGCCAGCTCTCCCGCCCTCTGCCCCACCTGCAGCAGCTCTAGTGTCTCCTCTTGCAGCTTTTCATCTGACGACAGTGGCATGATGACCATCTACACCAAAGAGAAATATTTGAAATTTTAATATTAATATTGTTTCTCAAGTCAAGTGCGTTTCTGCCCGAAACGCTGCGCGTACTAGTGGCTTTGCAAGAATGTAATTACTATGCTATGTATCCTCACAATCCCAATGTACCTTCTTGTATATATATAAATAAATAAATAAATAAAGTCCAGCACCACAACTATCTCCAATCTTTCTCATGGTGGGTGCAATGTGCTTCAACATTTATTATTCATATGATTGCAGATCTTTGTCTTAATTTAATAACTTTTTAAAATCATGATTGTTATGCCATTGTAATACTGTAACACAAATGAGAAATCCAAATTTGATGAGTAAATGTTTCGCTGACCATTGAGCTCTCTGAATCAAGAATAATGTTTAACACATTTTCAAAGTCTCCTCACACAAGGCAAGTAACATTTCACACATGCACAGACAAACTGCTACATTGGTGATACTTTAAAACAATAACAAAAACCAGCGTTGAATATAATGACACGTCATTTTCCGGGTGAGAGCCGGAGGCTCCCCAGAGCTATACCGGGTTGATGTGTATATATTAGACCATGGCCACAGTCACTAGCTGGAGTTGTAGACCTGCCGGGGACCAGGAGCCACAACCTGGTCCCCTCAGAGAGGCATGAGGAGCAATGGCCTATAGACAGCCCCATGTAGTTGGAAGCAGTCTATGTCTGTCTGTCATCTACCAGGTCAGGCACCTAGAAAGGAAGGAATCCCAAAACAAACTACAGCTGGTAAAACATTGCAAACCGAAAGCCGAACGAGCAAGCAGAACTCCCCAATCAGAAAACAAGCAAACAATCATGACGTCACCACAGCCGCCGTGCCGGTGTGTGCGCAGCTTCCCCCTCCCAGACCTCCCGCGCCGCCGGCTACCTCACCTCAGTTTTGAGGCTGTTGTGTTGGGTGGAGGTCGACCGACTCTGGCTCCAGTCCTTGAGCAGTGTTGTGCATTGTGATGTTGTGGTGTGGTGGTGTGCGAGCCAGGTGTTATTCTAGAACGGTACCCTTACTCAAATCTCTGAATATGTTAGATATTAAGTCACTGCACATTCTCTCTTGTGTATTATACATATATAAAACGCTGAACTGTAATGCCAATCCTGACCTCAAAAGCTTCATTGAAGGTTGTAACAGAACCCATGAGCACCACACCAGAAATAAATACAGTTTTGATATTCCTAGAGTACGACTTAATCAAACTAGAAATGCTCTACAAATCAAGGGACCCAGAATGTGGAATGACCTTCCCAACCATGTTAAAGACTGTACCTCTCTCAACCAGTTTAAGATAAAAACTAAACACTACCTAATAAATTCCCTGTAATCTACCTTACTCCTCTATTGTCAACCCATGTCTAATTTTTTTTTTTTGTTTAATCAACACTGTCAACTTATTGTATTTGTGCTGCTTTTTCAGTCATGTTCTCCCTTTTTTTTTATCTATTTGTATTTGTTCTCAACACTTTTTATTCTTTATGCTCAATTAGTATTAAGTTCTAGATATTAATGTTTTTCTTGCCCGAAACGCATTGCGTAATAGTGGCTTTAGGCATTGTATGTACTAGCTCTATCTATATATCAATCCATTAATGTAACATCACTTGTATGTATGTATGTACCTTACCTGAATAAACATATTTATTTATTTATTTTATTTATAGAAGTACTGGGGCAGCATGCACCTGGGGTTCCCTTCCCTAGGTCCCGTGTAAGTGTTGCCCCTGCAGGTTGGGGTTACCTTCCCTAGGTCCCGTGTAAGTGTTGCCCCTGCAGGTTGGGGTTACCTTCCCTAGGTCCCGTGTAAGTGTTGCCCCTGCAGGTTGGGGTTACCTTCCCTAGGTCCCGTGTAAGTGTTGCCCCTGCAGGTTGGGGTTACCTTCCCTAGGTCCCGTGTAAGTGTTACCCCTGCAGTTTGGGGTTCCCTTCCCTAGGTCCCGTGTAAGTGTTACCCCTGCAGGTTGGGGTTACCTTCCCTAGGTCCCGTGTAAGTGTTACCCCTGCAGTTTGGGGTTACCTTCCCCAAACTGTTCGGGAGCAGGGTTCTGCAGGGTTCTTTTGCTGCATGGTGAGTGCCCGCCCTCGGGGTCAGCTGGGGGGGTTTTCCTTCTCTGTTTGGCCTAGGGTAGGAGGTAGCATCGTCGCTGGCAGGGGAGCAAGGTACTGTGCAGCTCTCTTATAATACGCATTGCGGCCAATTCTGTTCCTCCTGGTTCCAGGTTCTGGTTCGTGGTTCCCGGTAGGCATAAGAACGCCATACGACTGAAGCCCCTAATATAGCTAACATCAGTCCGATAGCTCCAGGAAGCCTCCAGGACTCATCCAGAAAATGGCGTTTCATTACATTCAACGCTGGTTTTTACATTCTTGTAAAGCCACTAATACGCATAGCTTTTAGGGCAGGTCCTTAATCTAAACAGATCAGGTAAGATGAAAAGGTACATTGTAGCAAAACTGTATATCAACATGTAATTATAATATAAATTGACAGAGGTGATTACACTGGTGAAGATATGTCCTAATTTAATTACTAATATTGGGGAAGTGAGTAGCACACGAGTACCTTGCATGAGTACCTTAGGTGGCACTTAGTACCACCTAAGTACAGTTACAGGACAAGAACTACACTCGTGGTGTCCCGTCGAGAAGGCGGTGGTGGCCAAAACTATGCAGTTTCAAAGCTTTTTTTAAATTTTAAATTTTGCCCCGAGGGGCGAGTTTATTGGGCAGCGTCACTCATCTTGTGAGTTGACATACCGCCATAGCAGCATGTACAACACTCCCCAATAGGAAGAAAACCCGCTGGGTTGTTCATCCTGTCACTTGTACCCAGACACAGCTGGGACTTGCTTAACTGTCTCAAGTGAACAGCTCCTCAAACAAGAAGATTAACATCTATCAACCCTTAAAAGCTTACGTTATCTTGCGGGTGCAAAATGTTCAAAGCTCTACATCTGCTGGCCAGTGCTGGGAAGATGGGACACCACCAGCGTAGCTCTTATCCTGTATCTACACTTAGGTAATTACGAGGAGAGTGTGGCATGAGGCGAGTGTAGTATGAGGAATACGTGACATGGGAAAAGGGTGGCATGTGATGGGAAAAGATCACCTGAGGAAGGCTGGAGGTGCCACCAGTGATGGACGTGACGGTGACAGAGATGACCAATGAGGACTCAGCCAGGCGCTCCTCCTCCACTGGCACGCCATCGCTGTACCTCACACACACCTGTTGGGGGAGGAGAGGTCACAGCCCTCTTGATGATGGAGCAGTGGTGGTGGTGGGGGCTACAGGCAGGGAGACTATAATGGTGGGGAGTAACCGTGAGGGAGAGAGTGGTGGGAGGAAGGGTGAGGGAGACGAGTAGGATGAGGGAGAGGAGTAGTGATGAGGGAGAGGAGTAGTGATGAGGGAGAGGAGTAATGGTGAGGGAGAGGAGTAGTGGTGGGGAGTAACTCTGTCTCTTGGGACTATTACTACTTCTACTCAGTCCTGCAGTTTGTTTAGGTACTGCATCTTTCACTAATCTTAATTCTTTACCTTTCTTATCAGTTTTTTATCATCTGCATACACTGACATTTACGTGAATTTACCTGAGGGATACTCTCTCTCTGGTGGCTTTGACGAGAACAGGAAAATCAGCATCTTGTCTCACCAGGAAGGTGATCAGACGAGGACTAATTGGGGTCTAAGAACTGAGTCTTATGGGATCCAAAGCATGTTTGTATTATGCTTGTATATAAATTAGAAGCATTTGGTCATTTTTGGCTATTTCATGTCAACAGTTTGTTCCTGTAGGCTATAGTGAAATGAATGTGTTATAGCATAATTTCTGAACCATTTCAAGTTAACAAAATTATGAAGTCTCCAGTTATCCTGAAGTCACTTAAAGATTCTTTGATATCACCTTAAGTAATTATATGGCACCTTATTTCATTGCTGAACCATTTTATGATAGCATATTATGTGGTGAGACACCTACCACAAAGCTGAAGGGCATACCAGGACGAAATATGAAGGGAGATGTGCCCACCACCTTCACATCTATGGTGTTGCCGATGATCCGGGTCCTATAGTGCAGAAAAAATGGCAAATTAAAAAATACTTGAACCATGTTCTATATTCATGAAAATTTACCAAACTTCTATACAAGAAACGTAATTGACTTATGGGGTAAACAAAGATGACTCGCCCACAAGGGTACATGTGTGTACTAAGTTAAATAATGTCGAATAATAAACTAAGTGAATAATTTTTTTTCTTGCAATGTATCTTATCATTTTATTAATTTTGCTAGAATTTACCTACTTAAAATTATCTGTTAGATTAAGGACCTGCCCGAAACGCTGCGCGTACTAGTAGCTTTACAAGATTGTAAATACTATGCTATGTATTCTCTCTAACCCAATGTACCTTCTTGTATATAAATAAATAAATAAATAAATAAATAAATAAATAAATAAGTGTCGTTCATAGCCCCACTAACTTCCTTTTATCCCGAATTGATTTAACAAATTCGAGGTGAAATTAATTAAACACAATAAAGCCTAAACATCCCCAAAATGTTGTGTAAAATATACAGTGTAAATATAATTAAATTAATTCAACAGAAAAGAGATTACTGAATTTAAAGAAAAGTGAACAAAAGATAAATTTAAACAAAATCTGGTGAAAGGTGACCCAACTTACAGGGAGACTAAAGTGCACTGTTAACATTAACTGTGAAGCAATTTTGATGATGTAAATGTGATAAGAAACAAGAAGTGAAAGAGAGTTCTTACATACTGATGCTTGAATGACATGGCTCAATCCTGCAAGCACATTTAGCAAAGAATGTACGTGTGTAAGAACACACAAAACAAACATTACAAAATAATAACAGGAATCACTCAAGTTGACACATTCGTGACACCAGCAACTTTAAGAACAAGAGGACACATATTCAAGCTAAGGAAACAAAGGTGCCAAAAAATATTAGACAATTTTCTTTTGCATAGTGGCAGACGGTTGGAACAAGTTGGGTGAGAAGGTGGTGGAGGCCAAGACCGTCAGTAGTTTCAAAGCGTTATATAACAAAGAGTGCTGGGAAGACGGGACACCACGAGCATAACTCTCATCCTATAACTACACTTCAAGTAATTGCATACGCATGCAGTAGTCTACATTCTCAACTAGTAATGCAGGGCCCCGGGTTTGTTTGCCAGGCGGGCCAGAAATGGTTGGGCACGTTTCCTTTCACCAGATGCCTATGTTTACCTGGGAGTTTGGCAACTGTTCGACTGTTGTGGGTTGCATCCTGGGGAAGGTCAGTAGTTGACCTAAAGGAAGGTCAATGAGCCTAAATACGGTTACTAAATACAGTCTCCGTGGTGTAGTGGTAAGCCTGGCGTTCCTCGAGCGCTTTGTCATGGGTTCGTATCCTGGCCGGGGATATCCTGGGCGCAAATCCTTAACTGTAGCCTCTGTTTAACTCAACAGTAAAATGTGTACTTGGTTGTAACAACGATTCTTCGCGGCGGGGATCGTATTCCAGGGACCTGCCCGAAACGCTACGCGTACTAGTGGCTCTACAACCATGTAACAACTCTTGTATATATTAATGAAAAAATACAGTACAGGCTTTCTATTCCCAACAGCAGGAATTTTAATTATACATGTGCACATATGTTCTCTCAACATGTATAGACACAACCCGTTCTCGCAAATTTAATAAGTCAATATTGACTTATTAAATATGTGCATAGGTGACATACTTAACATAATAGATACCCTTAAAAGATTCATAGAAAACACCGACCTTACCTAACCTTGTTAGTATCTTAAGATAAGCATCTTATTGCTTCGTAATTACAATTATTACCTAACCTATAATAGGTATAGGTTAAGTAATAATTGTAATTACGAAGCAATAAGATGCTTATCTTAAGATACTAACAAGGTTAGGTAAGGTCGGTGTTTTCTATGAATCTTTTTAAGGGTATCTATTATGCTTAGTATATCACCTATGCACGTAGTTAATAAGTCAATATTGACTTTACGAATTTGCGAGAACGGGTTGCAACACAAGTGTGGTATGAGGTTAACCGACTATATGAAGGCTCTGGAACACAATGCTGTCTGGTTTATCCTGAGCCTAACATGATTGTAACTTAGCAGTAAATAAACTTTATTCCTAATTAAACGCTAATAATACGTTCATTAAATAAACCAATTTCCAAGGTCAAGGTTTAGATAAACTGATGTACAATAACATCTCTTATTTTGTAGTTTAATTTGGAACATCAGCACCACTCTTAATAAACTCTAATCTTATTAAAACAAAAGGAGAAAGAAAAAGTGAAAAGAAGAAAGAGGAGGGTACATTGTTATTACTTAATCGTATTTAAGCTATTAATATTTGGTTACCTTGGGATGCTAAGTCCTCACTAGATTACCTGAATTCTCAAAACCACAGGATTTCAAAATACATCTTTGAAAGCCACTCTGAAAGACCACAAAACTCCAGTACCTTTCTGAAAGGTCACCGCTTTCCAGGACGTCTCTGGAAGAGTATAAGGTTTCTAGACTCTTGAGGAAGACTGCCAAGGTTAGTATACCCACCTAGAGTGTGCCTCTGCCTTGATCCAAGTGAAAGTGTCATAGAAAACGCTCTCCACCTTCACTTCAGCACCCTCCAGCTCCTCCACATGACCCAGCAATGACTCCATCGGGAACGCAAACTCCAGTTCTGCATATACCTTGGGTAATATAACAAAAGACGAGTGTGTTATGGAAAGTTGTTGACATGTAGAATGTGAAGAGGTTGGTTACTTACAGTTTATTTGGTAGTTCTTAGTTTCTCTGTTCTTCTCTCAACCAGTTTAAGTCTTTAATGTCATTAGGGAGGTCATTCCATAGTTTGGGACCCTTGATTTGCAGAGCTTTGATGCATACTTCCTCTTAATTTTTATGTCTTATTCCCATTTACACCCAGACATCTAATCTCAAGCAATTTTAAGTGCTGTTAACTATCTCTTCTGAGTTTGCTAAGGTCACCATCCACTCCAAAGACAGGTCCACTCCTTCCATCTTTTACCCGACATAGTACATGAGTTCTTGCTCATGAACAAGTCCCAATTTTTGATGAATGGTATTATGCTATTAAAACAATGCTTGGACAAATGGTGAATATTATTTTCAAATTAAAGTGATAAAGTTTAAAAAAAAATTCAACTATTAAATATGGCTAAGTGATACAAGTAGTGGTTACTCAAAAACATCCAATTCCTCTCTAAATGCAATAATCAGGTTTTAGACATAGAATGTGAACTCACATAATCATAGAAGATAGAAGAGACCAGCTTGAACTCCGAGTCGGGAAGCATCCACGGCTGCTTAACATAAAGGGTGAGGGTGGCATTGCCAGAAATTGGTTTGTCGGTGGCAAAGCTACCCGTCAGTAGGCCTGTAATCTCCTCCTCGTCTGACATTGTGTAGAATGGCATCTCAATCTGCAGCTGAAGGAGAGGTGAGTGCTTAGTATCTCACATCATATAATGTGACCCATCATGCACTATGGCATGGAATAAGTATGTAATTTTAATTAAAAACTGATGAAATATAATTTATATCTGATCTATATCTTTAAAACCTAAAGTTCAGTACCAATCCTAACCCCAAATGCTTCTCAGAGAGCTGCAAAGGAACCCATAGATACATTAGAAACAAATATCTATTTGATGTGCCAAGAGTCCAACTCGACCAAAGAAGAAATGCCATGCAAATAAACCAGCGGTGAATGTAATGAAACGCCATTTTCTGGGTGAGCCCCAGAGGCTTCCTGGAGCTATCAGGCTGATATATGTTATATTAATCTTGGGCATCAGTCAACTGGAGTTCAGCCACAGGGGACCTCGAGCCAGAACCTGGCCCCCTCAGGGAGGCAAAGGGAAAAATGGCCTATAGAACCCCCCCCCCCATGTGGTTGGGGTCATTCCATGTCTGCCATCGACCGGGGTTGCACCCAGAAAGGTAGGCATAACAGAACAAACCCCACTTGGTAAGAAATAGCGACCTAAAACCTAACAGGGAGGCAGAACTCGCCCTACAACTTAAGAAAAAAGCAAACGTCACACCTCATCGATGCGCCGCCGGTTCGCACAGCTCCCCCTCTCCCTCCCTCCCTCCCTCCACCTGAATCTCAGCCCAGGACATATTGTCGAAGACAGCAGTCAAACCAGCAAACTTACAAACGTCGTAGGCATGAGGATAGACCACAGGCTGGCTACACTTAATGACCCTGCAGATGACCTGGGAGACCCGAGTCCTGGAACAGGGAACGAGGGTAAACTGAATCAACCAAAAGTGCATCCCCGGCCAAAGAAGCCAAGGCGCGTAAGATACTGTGAAGAGCCGCAACTGGACACAACACAAGATGCACCCCCGGCCTGACAAACCAAGCATCAACGACCCAAGGACTCCTTCGGAAAGCAGCCGTCTCATTCTTCGCCAGAAAAGGAGAAAGCTGCAACAGAACAAACCTACCACCTGGACCAAAAGAGCAGAAACCCCTGCGCCAGAGGAGAGCATGAAGCTCACCAACCTGACCCCCAGAGGCCAATGCTAACAGAAAGAGCCATGGAAAAACAATCTTGAACCGAAGGGACCACCACGAACCGAGGTGAAGACAGAAAAAATGAGTACCCACCAAGGACCAGGAGGCCCCTCCACTGAGGGGTGAGGCCTGGATGTTTGTTGTCATGTGTATTCATGCTGCTTGCATGTCGTTGCTTATTTTGCCTTTGTTTTCTTGACAGCTTTCTTTGCCTTGGGTGGTTTGGGAGATTTTGAAGCTCTCTTTATTTTGGGCTTTTTGTTCACGGCTCAGGGGGTGCATGATCAGGCCAGTGGGGAAACAAAGCATGAGAAAGCTTACGGAATAGGGCCAAAGTGACAACCGCTCCAAACACAAGCAGGAGCGGCTCTGCCAGCGCCGCACAATATGAGGAGACATTATATAGCATCAAATGACAGTCCTGAAAAAGCCAAGAAAGAAAAGACAAGACAACCCAATCAGAAACAGAAGACAACTTAAGAAGAGAGGGAAAATGGCAGAAAGAACACCAGGAAACTTCATACTGTTGCCGAGACGAAGCTCACAGGTGGGACACCATCGACGAAGCCACCTAATCATGATACAAATGGTGACAGACCTGCATCAAAAAGACCAGACACGAAGAGCGGAAGAGAAGACCTAACCAGCCAGGTACCTGACCGGACCGATCTGCTGAAAGAGGCGGAGCCGCGGAAAACATCATGGGTTTGGACTCCAAGCAAGCAGCGCTTGAAACCAAGCCTATTGGCGACAAAGGGCCAACAGGACTACTCTCCCCTGGTAAGTCTCCAACGAGCCAAGACCCGAAGGAACGGCTGGACAGGGGGGGGAAGAGGTACAGGTAACCCCACCTCCACCTGTCCATCCGAAAGGTGTTTACAACGACTGCCTCGCAGTCAGGGAACAGTGCCACATATACCTCGAAACACTGAGACCACGCTGACGTGAAGAAGACCCGAGTGCCACATATACCGGGAAACGTTGAGACCACGCTGACGTAAAGAGGTCCACCTCTGGGAGCCCGTACATCCAGCAGGGCTCACTGAAGGAGTCGGCGTCCACCATCCATTCAGTGGACAGGGGAATGAACCGAGACAGTCCAACCACCAGGACGTTCGACACTCCTCGGGCATAAATTGCCTAGAGAGCCAAACCCTGAGAATCCAGCAGATGAGTCACTCAAAGCGACCAGCCCCAAAGAGGAAAGACCAAAGAGAACCCCTGCGGTGCAGGCAATGAACCACTGGAGAACAGTCCGAATGTAGCTGGATCATCCACTCCCGAGCGACCTGAACCCTCTGAAGTGACAGCCAAACCAGCGTGAACTCCCGCACCATACTGTGAGTTCGATGGAAGGACGGACCCCATCGTCCCTGGCCAGCCAGGTAAGCACTGGCCATAAAACCCAGCCAAGAGACAAGGCAACCGTGAACACATCGAGCAAGGGCTTGGGTAGGCGCCAAGGCACTGAACACACAGAAACCCGAAGAGGAAGCCGGCGACATAGCAACCGACGCAACCCGGAACCTGAATCCAACGATCGCAAGAGAGGCGGAAGGGAGGACCCCGAAGGAACCAGAACAGACACCGAAGTCAGACCCGAACCAGCGGGTAAACCAGCACACCAAAGTTCAGACTCCCACGCAACTGCTCGAGAAACCGCTGAATGAAACATTGTTTCATTTGGCGAATGTTCTGAATATAACCCCCCTGAAACAGCCGAAGGCGGGACTGCAGCCACAACAATGACTCCAGAGGGAGAGACAAGGAAGCGTTCGGAGAGTCTCACATGAGACCCAGCCAGGTCCGAACCTGGGACGGAACCAGATGGGACTTCCTCCAGGACACCAGGAACCCGAACCCGGTAAGCTTGGAAAGAATCACACACCTGGCGAGCAGACCGGTTGGAAGCCCACAACCAGTCATCGAGGTGAGCCAACACCCGAATACCAAGCAGATAGAAGAGGGCCACCACGAACAGGGTAAGACACGGAATGGGGTACGGAATTATACACCGTTGGTATATTGACAGTTGTAAGAAAAGATCTAAGAATTTTTTTACAATGGTAGCAATATAAATAAATGGAATAACGAAAATAAAGAGACTGTAAAGTTGCCTTATATACCTTTTTTGACAAAATATCCAAAGACCTTAGCGACACTACACATTTGCATTCAATTTCCAAATTATGATTAGGAGAAATCTTTGTCACAACAGACTCAACAGTAGTAATAACAATAATGATGGAAGTGACTGTTTTGTTAATGTTGATGTTAACAATAACAACAGTGGAAGTGGTGTTAATGTAGGTAATGGGGAGAGTTGTAGCAATGGTAACGTTGATAATGGTAATAATGTAGTTATGTAATGGTGATTATGTGATAAATTTTAATGATTGCAATTTATCGTATGTGGGTGAGACTGGTCGTGGTTTATTGAAAACACTATGAACATAAAAAAGCAATAACAAATTTTTATAAGAATAAAGCCATTGCTAACCATTGCTGGGATTTTAATCATAGGATGGATTTTAGTAATAGTAAAATTATACATGAAAGGTCTTTTGAGATATATACAAGAGTTGGTACATTCTTGTACAGCCACTAGTACGCGTAGCGTTTCGGGCAAGTCCTTAATCCTATGGTCCCTGGAATACGATCCCCTGCCGCGAAGAATAGTTTTTTTCATCCAAGTACACATTTTACTGTTGCGTTAAACAGAGGCTACAGTTAAGGAATTGCGCCCAGTAAATCCTCCCCGGCAAGGATACGAACCCATGACAGCGCTCGCGGAACGCCAGGCGAGTGTCTTACCACTACACCACGGAGATTGTCTTGTAAATTCGACATTAAAAGGAAATTACCAGTCTTCCAACCATTTGTAAAGTTCATGTAGATCTCTTTGTATGGCCTCAATATCGTTTTCGCTTCATATTTTACCGTATATCTTAGTGTAATCTGCAAATCTGATGATGTGGGTTGTAATATTCTTATCTATGGCATTGAGGTTCATGATATAAACAAAAAAAAAAGTATGGTTTTGGGATTGGCCCCAAAATGGGCCCTTGTGATACCCCAAAAATGTACTACTTAAAACCTTCATATTAAACTTAATATAATGTTTAGATGCTTAACATAATTAGTAGCTTTATAAAAAATAAAAAATATCTACTATGAAATTACTGTAATTAGGACCTTCGAAATATTTATAAATATAATATTAGTATTACCTCATAGAATGGCTCATAGACCTTGTGGACTAAGAATATCTTCTCCTCAACTTGGCCTTGAGCGTTGACTCTGACTTTCCACCACCCGGCCAGCGGCAAGTCCGGCAGAGTGTACGCCACGGTCACCACTCCTGCAACCACACAAAGCTCCAAGTTATACCACGAAGGAAATAAATAATTTAAGTATAAACACAAATTTTCACTATCTTCTTTCCAAGTAAAAAATTTAAGTTATATCTTCACCATTCTAGCCCAGTTGCTTACAGTTAACCTCGTTAGAAAGGATAGTTACGGAAAATGAAAACTAAGGCTATATATTATTTACTGTGTTGTGATTGGTCCCACACACAAAGTGACTGACATTCCTGTCTTCCCATATCCACATAAACAGGATTTTAAGTAGTCATCTTTCATAAAGTATAACAGTAATAAAAGGGCAGACTAACTCACCCACATGCGGTGATCTTGACACCCAGCGCTTGACGACATTGCTCTGGGGGTCCTGGAGAGAGAGAGAGAGGTGGAGTAGGTAGATCATGTCACAATCAGGGTGAAAAATCTCATTTACAAACTTATAAAATAATGAAGGTCTTTCAAACTGTAAGAAATGTGTTACAGCAAATGTATCTTGGGAATAGTCAAGAGTTCCTGTACCAAACACTACAATAATATTGTATTAAAATATCACGAAATTATTTTAAATAAATCTAATTTTATAATAGCACCCAGAAAATCAGATTTCCCTTTAATGCATGTGTAACGGTTCTATTGTTACGTAAAGTATGGTGACAAATAAACACAGACACTAAGATACTATATATATATTTGGTAGAATATACAGAAGTACACAGGTGATACTTTGGTGTGAGTTGAGCGCACTGAGCGTCGGTACAGTATCTCGCAAGTGTCTGCTCTAGACCACACTTGAAAGTAGACTAGCCAATGTTCGCTACACCGCTGCTTATATGCTCGGGCAACACCTCACCTCATTCATCTCCAAAGGTTGACAGGAATATTAACAATGCATTTGGAGCGAGTATATTATTGGGATAATCTACTCGCTACACATCGTTCTAAACAACGGAACAAATTGAGCCACTGGACAATATTCCTTTTTTTCTTAAAAAAAAAAAAACATTGAATGTAATGAAACACCATTTTCTGGGTGAGCCCGGAGGCTCCCTGGAGCTATCGGGATAATATTCAATTCATTAGACCTGGGGCCAGATTCACGAAGCAGTTACGCAAGCACTTACGAACGTGTACATCTTTCCTCAATCTTTGACGGCTTTGGTTACATTTATTAAACAGTTTACAAGCATGAAAACTTGCCAATCAACTGTTGTTATTGTTATAAACAGCCTCCTGGTGCTTCGGAGCTCATTAACTGTTTAATAATTGCAACCAAAGCCGTCAAAGATTGAGGAAAGATGTACTCGTTCATAAGTACTTGCGTAACTGCTTCGTGAATCTGGCCCCAGGCCATTAGTCAAAGGAGTTCAGCACATGCTATTCGGAAGCTTGCTCCTTTGGCTGCCGTCTTTGCGGCAACATGTCTTGGGCTGATATTCGGGCGCAGGGATTTTGAAGGTCGAACCGGGTCCTGGCCACCTGTTATTTGGTTAACTTTCCTGGTCCTGGGCGATTGTGTGTGGCTTTGGGTAGCAGGTTGCAGCCAGTTGTCTCGCCTTCGTGTTGAGGAGCGTGTGGCGGCCACCTCTCAGGTAAGTCTCTCTCTCACTTATCTTTGGTTATGTAGCTCCAGGGAGCTGTAGGGGCTCCCCACAGAAAACCAGCGTTGAATGTAATGAAACACCATTTTCTGGGTGAGCCCCAGACTCCCTGGCACCCTCCTTTCGGTTGGCGGGTTTTGCGTTGTTTTGATACTTTGCCTCCGAACTGGAATGGCTGGGTCGCTGGCGAGTGGGGGTCCAGGGCTCTCCCCTCCCCTTGGGTGGGGGGGGGGCGGTGAAGTGTGACTTTTGTTTTTTTTTGGTGATGGACGGGGTTCTGCCTATCTCGAGATTTTCTTGAGATGATTTCGGGGCTTTTTTTTAGTGTCCCCGCGGCCCGGTCCTCAACCAGGCCTCCACCCCCAGGAAGCAGCCCATGACAGCCGACTAACACCCAGGTACCTATTTTACTGCTAGGTAACAGGGACATCAGGGTGAAAGAAACTCTGCCCATTGTTTCTCGCCGGCGCCCGGGATCGACCCTGGGGCCACAGGATGACAAGTCCAGCGTGCTGTCCGCTCGGCTCCCCTGTTTGGTTTTTAGCTGTAATTTTCTTACCATGTGGGGTCTGTTTAGTTATGCCTTCCTTTCTGGGTGCCTAACCCCGGTCGATGGCAGATAAGGAAAACCCCAACCACAGGGGGGGGGGGTCCAGGGCCATTGCTCTCTCTGCCTCTCTGAGAGGGCCAGGTTCTGGCTCGTGGCCCCCGATAGGCTGAACACCTTTGAATAATGCCTTGGTCTAATGAACTGCATATTAGCTCAATACCTCCAGGGAGCTGTAAAGGCTCCCCACAGAAAAAAGTCCAGATTTTAAAGCAGTCCACATATGAAACCCAGATCATCAGGCAAAGTAATTTCCTGCACAATATTTTTCTAAAATGTTATATGTTTATATTTTTTATCAATCAGTGGATGTTCAGGTTTAGGTCGGTAAAAGTGCACAGATAATTTTCATTTCATTTTTCTATGTGGATATTTACATATATGAGGAATATCTATCTGTCTGATTGGAGACCAGATGTTTAGGGCTAGCTTCCCTAAACTTTCTAAGATGAATCATGGGAGGTATGGGAGTGTCACAGACTAGTCACTGAGTCGAGCAATCCTCCAAAACATCTAGAACCTAGATTCACCAAAGGGATATTCCAAAGCATGGAAAATTATCACAACATTGTAATTCATATTTCACACAACTCCTATGATTTTATCAGCATTTTGTGAATTCATTGATGATTTGCAGTGAATGACTGATAAATACTCTACTAAACCATGTCACTATAGTGTCCTTGGGAAATGAATAAATTATGGACAATGAAGATGTGAATTTTCTCCATGCATTGGTAGGTTCCTTGGTGGGTCTCCAACAAAGTGTCCGTTGCCGCCACAACTTTACAATTACTGTACAATGAAACATTTCGCACATACCAGAATAAAGATATCGATGGGCTCATCATAGGGCTTGAGATCCGTGGTAAGCAGAACCATGCGCACGCCCACTGTCCAGCGGGAGGAGAGAGAGAGTCAGTCTACTGTGGTATGAGGAGGGATGGTGGCATGTGGGTGACGGGGTAATGGTCCAGAGTGGCTGAGGGAGAGAGAGGTTTCTGGAGCGGTTGTCGAGGGTTCAGGGTGAAAGTAGATGGTTTAGGGTGAGGCTGAGGGAAGCCTAAGGAGAATGTGTGAGGCCTATGAAGGTGAAAGGGGAAGGGTGAGAATGGCGTGAGGGAAGGAAGGATTGTGATGGAAAAGGAATGGGGGTGATTAGTGAAGATAGAAAGGGTGATGGGAGATGGCTGGGAACAATAGGAGATATGGAAGGTTTGTTAGTTTGATAGTGAATGGGGTGAGGAATGGTAAAAGTAAATTTATTACTTTATGTAACAAATCATTATGTATATACAGTACACAAATTCACTTATGAAGTCATTCACATTTACTTAGGCTCTATAAGAGACTCGAACCACGGACCCCGCGCCTGTGAGGCAGAGGCTCTATCCACTCAGCTGTGAGTAGTCTTAATGGGGAAAGCTTCCAGAAGCGACTACTGCTGCTGTGCTGGAATTTTAAACTTTCCCCGACAACTACTGAAGCTCAGAGGAAGCTCAAAGTGCAACACCGGCAGACAAAAGTCATCCCAGAGCTAAGTCAACTCTCGTATCAGGAACGGTTGAGGGCCACAGGGCTCACAACACTACAGACCAGACATGACAGGGCGGATCTCAGTGAAACTTTTAAAATACTGAACAATTTGGTGAGAGTTGATCCGGAAAATGTCTTAAAAAGGTCTAATGTGACACAAACAAGGAGCAACAGTGTTAAGTTGGACAAGCCACAGTGTAGGAGTGACAACAGGAGATGCTTCTTCACCCACGGGGTCATTAACCCGTGGAACCGCCTGCCCACAGAAGTTCTAAATGCCAAGACTTTTGAATTTCAAATTCAAACTAGAAAAGATTATCAAAGCAAATTTTAATATTTTTATATTTCATTGTTTCAGGGGACAGGAAGCCAGAGTGTATTCATACACGTTAGGCTTATATCGCGTTTACCCCCCCCCCTCCCCCCTCCAGATCGAATTACTGACCCCGCCCAGGATGCAACCCCACAAGCTGACTAATTCCTGAGCACCTACTCACTGCTCGGTAAACAGAAGCATTAGGTGAAAGGAAATGTACCCAAGTATTTCTGTCCTGTCTGTGATTCAACCCCAGAATTTTCGAGAGTACAATCCGTGCTTTTATCTCGATAGTACAGTTGGACTCAATCAGAAACAACAGTTTCTGATTGTTGATTCACAATCAGAAACCCAAGGTTAAAATCCCGGGCAGGAGAGAAATGGTTGGGCACGTTTCACCTAATGCCTTTTTTCTCCTACCAGAAAATTAGTCCAGGAGTTAGTCAACTGGTGTGGAGAGGACTAACATTAGTGTGACATCCTGTGGAACGTCAGTAGTTCCACCTTATACAATCAAAATCAAAATGTTTATTCAGGTAAAAGTACATAAATAGAAGACGAGTTAAACATAATGCTGGATTTATAGAGATCTATGTAAAGATCTGATTAAAGATCTGATTTAAATGAGATCTATATGCAGTCAAGTTATTACTTCTGCATGACTCGATCAAGTCAACTACCGTGATTAACCCTTGTGTGTGTGAGGCTACTCACCCTCCTGGTTGCCAGTGAAGCAAGGTCTGGAGAGGTGGAGGAGGATGGTGAGGAAGGTGGGTGAGGCTTGCACCTGTGTGGAGTTACGGAACACCAGCCTGCTGCCACAGTGGCCCTCCACCAGGAGTGTGTACCTCCGCACACCGTTAGAATGAGGTACCTGTGTGAGGGACCAGTAATGGCGCTGTTTAATACTCCACTAATAGTATATCTTATCCTTCTGCAACAACGTGAAGGTCCAGTGATAGTAGAGATAAAACCTCAATTAATTCCATTCAATTCTCATAGAACTTGAATAAGGCATCTGTAATTAAGGGCTTAATTACAGAACTGTCTACTTAATTGATACTAAATAAAATAAAACCAAAAAAATATTGTACACTTAAAGTTACACTAATATAATTATAAACACGAGAATGGTTTTACAGGAAAGACTTAGAGGCTCTCTAAAGGTCCTAGTAATGCATGAGAAACTTAACGTGTCCATTTGGGAAGCAGATGGCACCTTAAATGAAAGACCTATAGAGACCTAAAATGCTATGTTGGTGGTTCTCCAAGACTGTACAATTTAATTACCAAACTTTGCACTTTCACAACCCGTTGTACCTTCTTAAATATGCAGAATATAAGTTAATACATATGAAACCCTGTGTTAGTGGCTTTAGGCATAGTATATATAGTACTAACTATCTTGACATCCATCATTCAGCTTGTAAGTCATTTTGTATGCATGTACTTTTCCTTAAATAAAATTATTATCATTAATTGCTATACATCCACCTGGATTAATGGTCACACATCCACCTGGATTAATGGTCACACATCCACCTGGATTACTCACCACATACATATCTGCATTATTCACTACTCACCCACCTGAATTAATCACAAACTCATCTGGATTACTCAAGACTGAATTGCACATTACACACCCACTTGGATTACTCATCAATACTCGCTTGGATTACTCACCACACACCCACTTGAATCATTCATAACAAATCCATCTGGATTACTCATAACTCACCCACCTGGATTATTCATCACAAATCCAGTTGTCATCACAAATCCAGCTTGACTCGCCAAACTGGATTACTCACCACACCCACCTTCCTTATTCATTACACCCCCACCTGGATTACTCACCACACAATGGATTGTTTACTAAACTAGATTACTCATAACACATCGGATTACTCATCACACTGGATTGCCTACCCCATGCCCCCTGCTACCTTACCCTGTTATCTTGAGGTTATCTTGAGATGATTTCGAGGCTTTAGTGTCCCCACGGCCCGGTCCTCGACCAAGCCTCCACCCCCAGGAAGCAGCCCGTGACAGCTGACTAACACCCAGGTACCTATTTTACTGCTAGGTAACAGGGGCATAGGGTGACAACTGATCACTACCCTACCTTCCTCTCAGCAAACAGGGACATAACACCCTCAGTTACCATTAAACTTTACCTTTAGACTACACAACAAACCACCAATAAGGAACCTCATAAATGCATTTCACAATATAAACTGGGAATCTGAACTCAGCAATAGACAAGATGTAAATTCTTTAGCCGACATCTTTTTCTTTAAAACTCTAAGCCTCTACAACACACACTGTCCTCTCCTCACTAAGCAAGTAACTGGCAAAAGATTAAACAACCTCTGGCTCACAAGTGGCATACTGTACTTAAAGCAATTAACAAGAAACACGAAGATGAAAACAAAACATTGGATTGGTCTAGTTACAAAAGTTGAGTGATACTCATCAATGCTAATAAGAAGAGCCAAAGCTTCCTTTTATGAGAATAGATTTAAAGAAGCAAAAGGAAATATGAAAATCACATGGAAAGCCATCTTTAATAGCCAAGGGTCTAAACAACAATCACATAACCAGATAAAACTCTCCAAAGATGGTTACACACTTGCAACAGACTTAGATATTGCAACTGTATTCAATAGCATATTTTCATCAATTGGTGCAAACTTTGCCAGAAAAATCTCAGACCCAGACATGTTACTACATATCTCACCGGCAGCTACATATCCTAACACTCTACTCCTTTTACCAGTCAGTCCGACACACATTATATCCATAATTCAATCATTTACAACCAAAGTTGGGAACATTAGTGAAGTACCATCTATGATACAAGAGTGCTGCCCTGCTCTTGCACCACCCATAGCTCTGCTATTCAACAAATCTAGTGTCATACTTTTCCCGATATCCTTAAAAAAGCAAGAGTGACGCCAGTTCTTAAAGGAGGCGAGACAGCTGACAAATAATTACAGACCAATATCAAATCTACCAATACTTTCAAAAATATTTAAAAAAATTATTTACAGCTTTATTCCTACTTTGTAAAACTGAACATACTAAGTCTTTGCCAGTTTGTTTTCCATTCCCAAAAAGAGTACCAATGATGCCAGTATTAGTCTGCTTAATATAATCTACACAGCCTTTGACAAAAATGAGTTCCCTTCATTGACCTGAAAATGGCCTTTGATACTGTAAACCTAACTGTCCTCATTGAGGCTACTAGAAAGATAGTGGGCCGCAGGTAAATTCAGGTAAAAAATAAATATTTTTAATATTTATTAATAAAAATGCAAGATGAGAAAAATGTTAAATTAATTTACATTGTGAATTTGGCCAGGAAATTTATAATTATTATCTCTCACCCTCGACACACACACACCTGACTCACTCACCCCCCCCCCCCCACACACACACCTGAGTCACTCGCCGGCTCACCCCACTCCCGCTCCAATAACTAGCATGTAGGTGTACCTACCTGAGTGACCACATACCCACGAGGACGAGTGCCCATACAAGCACCAATAAGAGTTCCCAGACACTGGTCCTGGTCACTCACCATACACCTCCCTGGCCGAGCCGGCAGCGTACCTGGATGAGGAGGTCCTGGGTGTCCCCTGGAGGGATGACGGCCCGGGCGGGGTCGAGGTTGACCCCGGGGGAGGCCAGGTTAGCCGTGACCGTCACGGGAGCCGTGCCTGTCAGCACGCCTACCACCACACGGTACACGGTCAAGGGCCGCGCCAGGCGAGGAGCAGCGATGATGTAGCTTCTGTGGCAAGACACGTTCATATTGGCAAGATATGATAATTACGTAGTTCACATTTACAAACTGAAGTATACGTTGATTTGGCTCCAGCCTTCGATAAGGTACCACGTGAAAGACTGGCAAGGAAATTACATGTCTATGGAACAGATGGTAAAATATTAGCATGGATAAAACAATGGTTGAAGGAAACAAAACACAGCTCACTTGCGCTCTCCATTCTAAGTTGTCTTACAGCCCACATCCACTTTCAGATGATGTAGAACACTATCTACAGGCAGCTGTATTACTGACTTAGAGGAGTTGTATACAAGGACTTAGTTGTATATGTTCTGGTTCTCAAGATTAATGTCAAAAGATCCACTCGATTTCTCATTTAGTTTTCACAGATGTTACCCTCGAAAATATCCGTTCAACCAGGGCGTTACTGCTTGGTAACCTGTATATCTTCAATACAAACTCAGTCAGGTCACTCAGCAGAGGCTGGGGCAACACTGCCCTCTACACCACCACTGAGCCAGGGGCGTGTCGTCACAAACATCTACAAAGTGTTGTGCTGGTCCCTTCCCTGACCTCAATTACTGGAGTGAGAAGCAGTGGTTCGAGAAGCTATGACTGGTCTTTGAGGCTCAGATTACGACCATTGAGGACCTTCAACGTGACTAACAAGCCAATCACGCAGCCCTTTAACGACAGCAACAGAACATAACCCTTCACCATGAGGAGGTTAAAGCCGGTCAAGCTTACCAACAACTACATCATGAATTACACACACAGATCACACTAACGTGATGCATCAAATGAACAAATCCACAAATCCTCGTCACGGCCCTTGTGGATCTGTACATCATGAAATAAATCTCCGTGAAAAAATTACGCATCTGAAAACCAACGACTCCATCAACAAGGAAGAGGAAGCGTTAGACAAAATGAATGAGTGCATCACTACCATAACCGCTCAACAATCAGCAACAATTACTGGCCTCTGTTATGTCGCCTTCAGCCGTCCCTGTGGAGAGCGAAGGTGAGACGTGTGTTGATAGTGCGCGTGCTGTGCCAAAGGACCAACTGCAGTAGGAAATTAACAAAACAGACATCGTTGCTGCATACAGAGTAGCAAAAATATTCCAACAGGTCAAAATAAAAAAACAATCGCCTTAAACCAGCTACCCTTTCAATGCCCATCTGTGTATTGATAGAGGAGCATCAGAGGTAGAACATTCCTGGATGACAGAGCCAGAGTGCATGGGGGGGGGAGGGTTGTGTGAAACTCCTGGTCCGGCTTCAGCTGAAGCCGGAAATGTTTGTGTGTTCAGTAGAGCTCCAGGTTGGTATCCTTATACCATGTCGTGGCCTAGCTGACTAGCGTGTGCCTGGGAACACCCACAGCATAGTTTCGAACCCTCAACACGGCTCCTACGGATTTTATTCTTATTCTTATTATTATAAAGGATCGTGTTAAATAGGAACGAATCAGACTGGAGAAATGTGGTAAGTGGAGTGCCACAAGGGTCCATTTTGGGACCTACCCTTGTTTGTCATATGACATAGATGAGAATATTACAAACCACATCATCAAATTTGCAGATGATACGAAGATATATGATAAAGTGGGAAATGATAATGATATTGAAGCCTTACAAAAAGATCTACGTGAACTCCACAAATGGTCAGAAGACTGGCAAATGCTTTTTAATATTGACAAATACAAGACCTTACAGGTGAGACAACCCACGTCACAACTACCAAATTAATAGCTTTACATTACAGCCGACTGATGAAGAAAAGGACCTCGGAGTCAAGATCCACCACGTATTAAAAGCTACACAACAGGTGGGAGCAACAGCCAGAAAAGATAACCAAACTCTTGGGATAATCAAGCGTACTTTTGACTTTAAGGAAAAGAAGGTAATGGATCAACTATAAATTTCTGGTGTGCACCCATTTGGATTATTATATCCAAGCACGTAGAACTTATTTTCAGATGGACATAGCTGCTCGGGAGAAGGTGCAACACCGGACAATATAAGTTATTCCAAAGCTAAATCATTTCACGTATCAGGAACGATTGAGGGCCACAGGGCTAACACTGCAAACCAGGCATGACAGGGCGGATCTCATTGAAACTTTTAAAATACTGAACAAGTTGAAGGATGTTGATCCGGACAATTTCTTTAAAAGGTCAGATGTAACACAAACAAGGAACAACGGTTTCAAACTTAACAAACTCTAATGTAGGACTGAGAACAGAAGATTTTGAGAACTGAGAACAGGATAGTGGCTTTTTCACCTAAAGGGTATAATCCATGAAACCACCTACCCGCCAAAGACGTAACCGCCATAACTGTGATTTTTTAAATATACCTGGAAAAGATCATCATGGCAAATGGGGGGGGGGACCTTCGACAAGCCGCTGGCTTCCTGTCCTCGTTGAGGCCACTAGGGTTAGTGGCCTTCAGGAAAATCAGGTAAAAAACAGAGCGGCAGACGGTTGGAACAAGTTGTGGTGGAGGCCAGAACTGTCAGAAGTGTTAAAAAGTACACGAACAAGGGAACACAGGTGGTAACTCAGTACCCAAATGAACCATACACACATTAGAAAGATTTTTTGTTCAATATCAGATTAATTAACAAACGAAACTCACTATAGGAAGTGATATGGTGGAGGCAGACTTCATAAACAGTTTCAGATGTAGATGTGATTTAGAACTCAATAGCCTCAAGAACACCAGGTGAGTGGTGTACAGGAGAGGCGGGACTAAGATACGAATCTCAACACCCGCCAGCACAGCTGAGAACACCTAGGTGAGTACACTAACCTTGTATACCACATGTGTGTTATGACCTTTGACCTAAGGCTATGGTTCCTCTGCTTTGGCAGCAGTAAAATAAATATCATAAGAGCCTTGCCTACTACAAATGTCTAGGGAAAATAAGTCGATTACTTAAACACCAAAGCAATATACTCTAAGTAAGGGTAACAAAGAAACATACAAACGTATAAATGAAATACAGGCACCAGAAATATTAATGCACCAGAATGAAATATCACAATATTATATATATAAGCACTGATCACTATTATAAAACTTTAATGAATAGATGGGTAAACAATGGTTTAACCAGACAATTAGGTTAGTTACTACACAATAAACATGTACCAAAGACTTACCTCATAACATGTCCACCCCAGCCAGCCTCACCCACGCCACTAACGTGACTGGAGCAAGCATGGCAAGGTCTCCACAAGTTACCAACTAAAACCCACATGAAATCTCTATATACTCGCTATCTGAGAGTAATAATATAATTATAACTACACTAATATGCATATAACACTGCTAAGGTGTAATTTCAAGAATTAAGTACATACAATAAACTGGAATAATTCCAGGGTTGAGTCAGTGCCGGTGGGTTGATACACTGCACACAGTACTGGAACACCCATATATGCTCACCCCCCATCAGACGCCACGGCCTCCTCCCACATTAATGAACATGCAATAGCAACAACTAAAATATTTCATACAAGCACACTCAGCGTGTTACAATTAACTCAAACATATATCTTAGAAAACAAATAGACATAATAGTTAATTTTTAATAATTGAGGAAAGAAATAATGAACATACATGTTTATCATGATAAATGTTAGAATCTGTTATGGATTCATAACAGTATGTAAGACTAATCCTGGAGTATGCAGCCCCAGCATGGAGCCCGTACCTTGTCAAGCACAAGACAAAGCTGGAAAACTTCAGAGGTATGCCACTAGGCTAGTCCCAGAGTGGACACACGCGGCAGAGGCGCGCAAACCCAGCATGCACAACCGTTCATTTGTCGCTAACGACAAATGTAACACGCGAAACAACAACTCCCGTTGCTGCAGCGCCAAAAACCGCGCCTCAACGCCGCCCACACCTCCCCCCAATCCCAACATGGGAATAAAGCCTCCACCCACGGCCGAACACGACGAAACAAAATCCCATAAATCGCCTTAACGGAAAGAGACATAAAACCCGGACAACGGCAGACAGCCCTGAGAATATCCACCGCCCAAGAGTAAACAGGAGGGGTACAGAAGGCCACCTCCCGACAACCACCGAAATCCACCAAAAAACTAGAACTAACCGAACAATAATAAACACAAAGCATTGAGCCCCCCCACGCATCGCCAATCCCTGACGCAACGAGACCTAGAACAGCGCCCGGGCTCTGGTAAACACATCCGGAATACCAACCCCACCCTCCCGCACAGCTAACACCAACGTCGAGCGACGAACTGGGTGGTAACGTCCACACCACACGTACCTATAAACCTGACGTTCCAACCCCAGAGCCAGCCGGCGATCCATGGGAAAACACCGAGCCATGAACCAAACACGCAAAACCTTACAAGTAACCAGCAACACCCGCTGATAAATCGTCAACGGGCGCGCTGCCAACAACCCAACCGCAACACCAACACTACACGAAACCGCACCCCAATTATATTCCAAAGAGTGTTCGTAGGAAGTGAACCAGGTGATCTCCAGAACACGAAGAGAGGAGACCACCGGAAACCAAGACCCCTCCCACACAAGGCGAGAGGACCACCCACCGATACCCAGAAGTCCGGACTTGGCACGATTAACTTGGGCCCCAGTGGCCAACTCAAACCTCTCAACCATGGCCTGGACCGCCCCAACAGAACACTCCGAGGCCACAAATAGGACGGTATCATCTGCATAACCGCAGATGGGGAACCGAAGACCGGACGGCAGCCGGGGAGGGCGGATCAACGCACAGGCCTTGACCGCCCGAAAAAAAGGCTCCTAAAAGAGCACATAGAGGACATAGAAAGCGGAGAACTCTGCCGCACCGAACGGCACACAGGGAAAGGAGCACTCAAGAACCCATTAATGCATACCCGGCTGCAACACCGAGCGTACAACATACGCACCCAATGAATAAACAAAAGCGGAAACCCAAGCCGCTCTAACACACGAAAATCAAAGGCAAAAGACACACGGTCGAAAGCCTTCGA